CCTACCATGGTAGCCCTAAGAAAGCTTTGCTGGGCGGAAAAAGCGATAACACAGCCAGTGCCCCCCTCTCTTTGAAAATTGTGCAATTCTCTACTGGTGGAGGAGGACGATTGTTGAGCAAGGCGGGACTCACTGGCGATGATCATGGAGCGACGGAGCTGCGTGATTGTCATCAAGCTTATCTGGCCTGACTGGTTTGGCCTGAACTTCTCCGTCCCGGGGGTGGTCCTTCCGCCTCTTTTGAACTGCTACCAACACCAGTGACATTTTCATCCAGGCTCCCACAGGAATTAACAAGAAAAAGGGAACAAACATAGGTGGCTTCTTTGAAATTAATTTTTTTTTCTTCCTTTGATTTTGGTTTTAGACATTGTATTCTGGACACTGGTGTGAACAGGAAGGCAAAAGAGGCATGAACGAGACATATATGCACGACCTGAGGTATCGTCAAAAGTGAGGCTGAAGGCTGAGGATGCTCAAAGCTGGTACAATCTAAAGGAGTCGGGTGGGGAGAGAAGGACAGCACCACGCACAGGAGTACCCTGTCGTGCCCTGTGCCTGGGAGCCCCCCTAGCACACAGGTCCCACCCGGGCATGGACAGTGACGCAACGGCGGAGACCCCTTTAGAGCCTTGAATGGGGCATTTTTGGGGGTTGTCTCGCCTTAGCACCATCCTCGCCCAGGAGAGGAAACAGCTGTTGGGCACTCTATTGCTAGAACATCGATGTTGGTTCTCTTTTTCTTGGGAGGGGGGGGATGTCTTGTTTACTTCTCTCTTTTGTTCCTACTGTTCGCTGAGCCACGGGCTGGCGAACGAGAAGGATCCGAAGGTGAGATGAGATGCGCAAGCAAGGACAAGGAGACAAATATCAGCATGTTGCAGAGGATTGCAGAGTGTGTCACACCGATGCAACCTCGTCGATTCGCATGAGTCCTCCACCAATGTTGGCGGCCCAGCACTGCAAAGAGAATCTGCGTGTGTGTGTGTGTGTATGTTAAAGGTACCTTGCAGACTGACTGTTTCAACTGAGCAGGACTCATTCTGGTGGACATTAGTCATCGGACTTTGGAAATCTCCAGCGACCAGATGAACCCAGCCCAGGCACGGCACGATTTCAAATATTTTCTTCTTCTTTTTCCTTCTTCATTTCCTTCTTTTCTTTCTTAAACTCACCGGAGACCCCTTTTGGCGGCCACGAGTCCCCCCCCCCCTGGGACCCAGGAAGAGACTGGGGGTTATTTCTGAGCTTGGGTTTTGTGCACACTGCCCCCAACAGTTGTTGTGGACCAGGATGCATTTCGAAACGAGGTGTCCAGGCCATCCTAATCTGCAGCGGGACGGGATCAGACATCTCGGCCGTGGAACCCTTGGAAAGAAGAGAGCCCTGCGAAGCGGCGCATCCACAAGTCCCTGGTAGTACCTAGGGGCGGGCTGTGTACACACGCGACACACACACTTTCTCTATCTCTCTTCTTTGAAGATGAGTGGGTGAAAACGAGTGTCTTGGTCGACGGCTACACAAGTCTACCGCTGTGTGTATGGATGTGTGTCAGAATTGTGGCGGGACGTCTGACGGGATTAAGATCTAGTATAGCTCCCCGCCATGCAGCCGCTTTCTTTTGTATAAAATTAGTTTCTCGGGCCCGTCTTCTTCTTGTGTCAATGAGGCTACTACTTGTAGTACCTGGGACTCGGCCTCAATCGGGACGCGACGCACATTCAGTTTCGCCCAATCGGCATGGGTGGGGGAAGGGCAGCAACCTAGACATGGTTGAATTCGGCTCCGTCGACAACGCGTGGTGCGTGCGTCAAGGTTGATTTTCGGATTTTCTAGATAGGTCTCTCTCTCTATTTCTCACCGTAGCGTGGTATATGGTAAAGACGGTAGATGAAAGGAGAGGGGGGTGGGTGGGGCCGAGGCGTCGTGACGGTAGATTGGGTCCCTGTCTTTTTCCTTGTGCAGAATGGTCCCTGGGGATTGGCAAATCAAGCAGGCCAAGTTTTAAAAGGCATCCGTGGCATCCGTGACACCCCTATTTTTTTTATCTTTTTTTTCTGCCATTCCCTGCTTGCGTCTTTACAGTCTTCTTCTTGTCCTCTCCTTTGCAAGACCCCCACACCTGGACCCCCTTTGCAGATGGGTACCATGTAGATCATTAAAGTCGAGCGCCGCTGGGGCATGTGGGCCGGTGCGTTGGGGGCTGGACTGGTACAGAAGACAGAGAGAGAGAGAGAGAGAGAGAGAGAGTGTGTGTGTGTGTGTGTGTGTGTGTGTTTGTCTGTGTCTAAGCAAGGAGAGGGAAGGGGTGTTAGAAAATCTCTAGGCCGATGAGGATCGGCTCCCGGATCTTCAACCAAATATCATATATCCTGTCTCAGATCTGCAGGTCCAAGCAGCAAGCACGCCAGTCCGTAGTAGGTTGGCAAATACCTAGTTTGATGGGATGATACAAACAGTATTGATTCGTGCTTATTGATTTCCTTGATGCCATGAAGAAGGGAACGACACCTCCTCCCCTGTAACGACCCTTGAACCTTGATTGGTGGGCATCCAGCATCGGGGACGCTGCGCGAGGAATTGCGTGTATGAATTTATGCACGGCTGAAAAGTCGCGGCTGAGCCACATACTACGTAGTAAGAGAAAGAAAAGAAAAAAAAGAAATACATTATGATGATGACGGTAGTCCCAAAGACCTGCTGCGTACAGGATGGATTCGACGAGGCGGTTACGCCCAGCTGACTCCTTCGCATCACACATCAGCCCTATCGTGATTATGCCGTTACGTTCCCAAGAATGAATTTTGGGGGGCGGGGGGAGGAGCCACTTGCAACCCCTTTTTTTCTGGGTCTTTTCTTCTGTGCAAGGAATGGAGAGGTGAGGGATGAAAATAATTCCTCACCCTGGGCAAGTGTGCGAGTATGTATCGCATCAAGCCAACCAACGAGGGAGAAGAAGTCAGAAGACGAGTTGGACCTTGTTGGACTACTTCATTGCGGACAGTAATTAGTATGCATTCCTGTCCTAGTTGGATTCCAGACCAGTAAAAAACACCAAAAAAAGTGAAACTGGCCCGGTCGAGGTCAGGGGGTTGGGATCCAATCCTCTATCCACCAACCAAGCAACCAACACATGCATACCATAACACGTCGTGTGGAAGGATGCCAAATGCTTCCTCAACCCCCAGACCCAGGAAGTAATGCTAGAAACCCAAAGTTAGTCCTTATTTATCCTATTTGGAATGGAAGGAAGACTGTACTTGGCAATTTCCAATCTTGCTTCTGCCTCAACTGTCTTTGCCGGTTTTCGTACCAGAGCCTGTTCAACGATCTCCACACCCTGCTGGGTACTTACTCAACACCTTGGCTAGGGTTTGTCAGCGTGAGCCTCCTCTTTTTTTTCGGTGCTGTGATTGTCAGCCCTCACTCAGAACAGATAAGATGAGGCGAAAACTAGCCTTTTCCTCTTTCTTTTTTATTATTATTGCAGCTTCTAGAAGGACAACATCCTTGGGAATCCTAACAAACGACACTGTGCACAGAATAGCTTACTAATGCACTTGCCAGGAACAAGCACTGGGCATTGGGCTGACTTGCTACTATATACTATAGTACTAAGGTGCCTGTTTACTGGACACATCTGTACCAGGTGCTGCTGATTACTATTGTTATCTGTTATTGTTGTTGTAAATCATCAAGACATTCTGTTCGAGATGGATGGGGGCCTAAGGAGGGGGGGTTGTAGAAGAGGACGGGAGGGAAAATTGATCAAATCCTTTCACCAAAACAACCAACGTAGGGTTACATGGCAGAGCAGAGCAGAAGCACAATTAGTGATGATTCAAGGAGGGGGGTGGAAAATGGAAATGGAAGGTCAAGGACCCTGTCCTGCCCTGTCCTGTCCCTTCAGCGCCCCTGGTTATTTCCGGCTTCCTCGGGTTGTGCAGCAGCCAGCCTAAGGCGAGGGGGGCGAGCTACGATACGCCGAGAGACGCCCCGATTTAGCTGGGTCAGCACTACTGCTACGGGGTACCTCCTCAACCTGTGCGTGGCAGGGCAAGGGCATGCTAGGTAGTAGTACGTACTCCGCTGTAATGTCTTGGGTCCTGCAGTCAGCGCAATCCCAAGCAGATCCAGGCAATTCCAATTCTCGCCGTCACCCCGTCCATCCAATCCATCCATCTCAACCCAAGATCGATTTTCCACCTCTCCTCCACCCACCACACACAACCCTTTCTCGTCGCTGCACCGCACCGCACCGCACTGCACTGCACTTTACTGGCGCTGCACTACACTGCTCTGCCCTGCCCTGCAATTGCGACCTCGATCGGGAAACTGCATTTGGACTGGGTCATGGACATATGCACATTCCGTCCGTCCTGACCCATCTTGTTCCATTCTCTGCACCGTACTGTGCTGTACCTTGTATCCTAACCACGAACCTGCTCCCGTCCCTTCGTTTTTTTCTTTCTTCTTCTCCCCTCTCTTTTCCTACTCTCCCCCCCGCCAGCCGACCAAGACACTCAGTGGAATTCTCCTTCTTTTTTGGGTTTCCTGACCTGTTCGCTCCCTTGGTCCTCCGCCCTTTTTGACTACCCCGTCAGTCTCGGCCTGCACCAACCACGACACGACCACCACTTCCTCGTCCTCCCCCTTCGTCGTCGTCGCCAAATTTCCATCCCTTGATACCGGGACCGATTTCCAACCAAGTCACAGCTAGAAGAGCCAAGCCTCCACCTTGACCGAATCATCCGCTTTTCTTGTTTGTTTGCCTCCAACGCACGCTGAACGATCGCACTACCAAGGACTCCGCAACACGCTTTTACATTACGAGGAGGCCAATTAGGCTGGGATCGCGACGCGCGCCCACTCCGAGGGCAGGTGGACGGACGCCGGCTTCGACGAGGACGAGAGGCCCGACCTGGCGAGCATTGAGGCTTGACCGGGCCTGGCCCGCAACCCACCCCTCGCCATGGCGCCCTCCACTCCGGACACCAACGATGCGGGCGATGGCGCGAACAGTGGTGGCAGCAGCCCCGACAAGAAGAAGCTAGACAAGACAGACCGCGCGAGATGGGCTACCAGGAAGATGACGGTCAGAAGTAGTCAGCTCAAGCGCCTGTCGCTGATCGGCCGCCACAGAAAATCCCTTACTTCCGAGAAGAAAAGACAGTCTGGGGGCTCCGAGACGCTGCAGTCCTCACAGGCAAATCAGGAAGAAGATGACCAGGTCGACCAGGCTGACGATGCAATCGACGACGAGTCCGGCCACGCAGCGCCGCGGAAGCTGTACTTCAACCTGCCTCTGCCGCAGAATCTCCTCGACGACGACGGCAACCCACGACAACAATTCACGCGTAACAAGATCAGGACCGCCAAATATACCCCATTATCCTTCATACCCAAGAACCTATGGTTCCAATTCCAAAATGTCGCCAACGTCTTTTTCCTCTTTCTCGTCATTATTGTTGTAAGTTTGTGACCCCCACCCCCTCTCTTGCTGCGCGCTGCTACTTTTCTGCGCCAAATGACGCGCGCATCAGCCGCTCACTCCTTGACTAGTTCTTTCCTATATTCGGCGGCACCAATCCCGGCCTCAGTGCTGTGCCTTTGATTTGTATCGTTATCATTACCGCGATAAGGGACGCAATAGAAGACTACCGCCGCACAGTCCTCGACATTGAACTCAACAATGCGGCCGTCCACCGTCTGCAGGGCTGGAACAACCCGAACGTCCTTGAGGACAACGTCTCCATGTGGAGGAAAATCAAGAAGGCGACCTCCAGGTTTTTTGGATCGATATGGCGTGCGATCCAGGGGCTGTGGAAAAAGGAGGATCCAGCCGCCCGGAGGCGGAGCCGTGGCATATATGACGACGATCCTCGCATGTCTGTCGAGACCAGAGTCACACATGGCGCTTCTACTCGGCGAGAGTCCTTCGTGTCCGCTGCCGAGGATATCCAGATGACACCTGTCACGTCGCCTCTGCCGACTCAGCAATCGTACAACCAGATGGACGCGCCGCCTCCTCAGACGAGCTACGAGTTTCGGGAACCAGAGGCCGAGGCCAGGTTTGAGAACATCCAGGGCGATGTCATCAACCACGATCTGGATGCGCCTGGCAAGGCTCGTTTCCACAAAGATGCTTGGAAAAGTCTACAGGTCGGCGATTTCGTGCGTGTCTATGGGGATGACGAGCTTCCGGCAGATATCATCATCCTGTCGACCTCGGACCCCGACGGCGCGTGTTATGTGGAGACGAAGAATCTGGACGGCGAGACGAACCTGAAGGTGCGCCAGGCCCTACGGTGCGGCCGATCTATGAAGCATGCGAGGGACTGCGAGAGGGCGCAGTTCATGATCGACAGCGAGCCGCCGCAGGCCAACCTCTACAAGTACAATGGCGCCATCAAGTGGGAGCAGAATGTAAACGGCTCGCCCCGCCAGATGTCAGAGCCTGTTACCATCGACAACGTCTTGCTCCGTGGCTGCAATGTGCGGAATACGGAGTGGGTTCTTGGTGTTGTCCTCTTCACCGGTCACGACACCAAGATCATGATGAATGCCGGAGCCACGCCTAGCAAGCGCGCGAGAATCGCGAGAGGACTCAACTTCAACGTCATCTGCAACTTTGTCTTCTTGTTCTTCATGTGCTTCGTGGCAGCCATCGACAACGGTGTTGCCTGGGCAAAGACGGATGCGTCCCTGTACTACTTTGATTTTGGGTCGATTGGATCCACACCTTCCATGACTGGATTCATCACTTTTTGGGCAGCATTGATCGTGTTCCAGAACTTGATCCCCATCTCGCTCTACATCTCCCTGGAAATCGTGCGGACATTACAGGCTGTGTTTATCTTCAGCGACGCCGAGATGTACTATGAACCTATTGATCAGCCTTGTGTTCCAAAAACCTGGAATATATCCGACGATCTGGGCCAGGTGGAATATATCTTCTCCGACAAGACCGGAACACTGACCCAAAACGTGATGGAATTTAAAAAGGCAACGATCAACGGCCAGCCTTACGGCGAGGCTTACACTGAAGCCCAAGCAGGCATGCAGAAGCGTGCTGGCGTCGATGTCGAGAAAGAAGGGGCCCGGATTCGAGCCGAGATCGAGATCGCCAAGGTGAAGGCCTTGAAGGGCCTCCGGAACCTGCATGATAACCCCTTCCTGCACGACAATGAAGTGACCTTCATCGCACCCGATTTCGTGGACGACCTGACTGGAACGCACGGGGAGGACCAGAAACAGGCCAACGAGGAGTTCATGTTGGCCCTGGCATTGTGCCACACAGTCATCGCAGAAAAGCAACCGGGAGACCCACCCAAGATGCTGTTCAAGGCCCAGTCTCCTGATGAGGCTGCCTTGGTGGCCACCGCTCGCGATATGGGTTTTACTGTGCTCGGGCACACAGGTGACGGAATCAACGTAAATGTTTTGGGCGAAGACCGGCATTATCCAATTCTCAACACCATCGAGTTCAATTCCAGCAGGAAGAGGATGAGCGCTATCGTGCGCCTGCCAGACAACAGGATCGTGCTGTACTGCAAGGGCGCCGACAGCGTCATCTATGCCCGGCTTAAAAGAGGAGAGCAGCAAGAGTTGCGCCGGGAGACCGCGGAGCATCTTGAACTCTTTGCCCGAGAAGGATTGCGGACACTGTGCATTGCCAAGCGCTACCTGACAGAGCAGGAGTACATCGCGTGGCAGAAGGAGCACCAAGCTGCGGCGACCGCCCTTGAGGAGCGAGAAGAGAAATTAGAAGCAGTGGCCGACCTCATCGAGCAGGACCTGACTCTGCTGGGCGGCACCGCCATCGAGGACCGGCTGCAAGACGGAGTGCCCGACAGCATTGCCTTGTTGGCTGAGGGTGGTATCAAGCTCTGGGTTCTGACGGGCGACAAGGTCGAGACAGCCATCAACATTGGATTCTCTTGCAACCTCTTGAGCAACGAAATGGAGATGATTCGGCTGCAGGCTGTGGAAGACGAGTCTGGCCAGACGCCTCCGGACCAATATGTGCAGGAGGTCGAGGCTGCGCTCGATGAGCATCTGGCTGTCTTCAACATCACCGGCAGCGACGAGGATCTTCGACGTGCGCGGCACGAGCACAAGGCCCCTCCCCCTACGCACGCCCTGGTCATTGATGGATTCACGCTCAGATGGGTGCTCGACGAAAGGATCAAGCAAAAGTTCCTGCTTCTCTGCAAGAACTGCAAGTCTGTGCTCTGCTGCCGTGTGAGCCCGGCGCAGAAGGCCGCGGTTGTCTCCATGGTTAAGAATGGACTGGATGTCATGACCTTGTCGATCGGCGACGGCGCCAACGACGTAGCCATGATCCAGGAGGCCGACGTAGGTGTTGGTATTGCCGGTGAGGAAGGTCGACAGGCTGTCATGTCCTCGGACTATGCTATCGGCCAGTTTCGTTTCTTGCAAAGACTCGTCCTGGTCCATGGACGATGGTCTTACCGACGTCTGGCCGAGACCATCAGCAACTTCTTCTACAAGAACATGATCTGGACGTTTTCTATCTTCTGGTATCAAGTATTCTGCGACTTCGACATCACCTACATTTTCGAATACTCGTACATCATCATGTTCAACCTCTTCTTCACCTCGGTTCCCGTCATTCTGATGGGTGTGCTGGATCAAGATGTGTCCGATGCTGTTTCGCTTGCTGTTCCTCAACTTTACCGCCGAGGTATCGAGCGGTTGGAGTGGACGCAGCGAAAGTTCTGGTAAGCTTATTTCTTTATTAGACTTTCCATCCCACCAAAGCCACGAATTTATGCGACGAGTTACTAACCCCCGAGCCAGGCTCTACATGTTGGACGGCGTCTACCAGTCGGTCATGGTCTTCTTCATCCCATATCTCACTGTTGCGAACAGCCCCTTTGTCAGCTTCAATGGCCTGGACGTCTCGGAACGGTACCGTCTCGGGTGTTACATTGCCCACCCTGCTGTGATCACTATCAACCTCTACATCCTGATCAATACCTATCGCTGGGACTGGGTGATGCTGCTTGTTGTCGTCATCAGCGATCTCTTCATCTTCTTCTGGACGGGTGTCTACACGTCGACGACTTATTCGGCCACTTTCTACAAGGCTGCGCCGCAGGTCTATGCCGAGGCCACCTTCTGGGCGTGCTACTTCATCACTCCAGTCGTCTGCATCTTTCCCAGGTTCGCCATCAAAGCCCTGCAGAAAGTATATTTCCCTTACGATGTCGACATTGTGCGCGAGCAGGTCACCATGGGCAAGTTTGATCGGATTCTCAACCCAGAGAAGGTCGACACCGCTCTGGAGTCTTCGTCAACCGGATCCAGCCAGTCTTCAAAGAAAACCAAACACACCAAATATGCCAGTGTCGACGAGGACCGGCGGCCAATCTACCCTCCCTCTGTTGCTACGCACAACACGAGGGCACAAAACGGCAGCGACGGCACGAATTACACGGGACACGAGCACGACATGTCAGCTCGTCCAGTGTCGACAGATTTGACGGATTCGTACCCAGTGCGTCAGTCGATAGACCGCGCTAGGCCTTCGTACGACAGGATACGAGCTTCGATGGACCGCGTCCGCCCGAGCTTCGAAGCCAGCCGTGACTTCACCTCAGCTGCTAGGCTCAGCCGCGTCGAGTCCACACACTCGGCACACCGCGCCTCCGGCAACTTACTCAACAGGACACGCATGCGAGGGCTGTCCATAATATCGGCGAAGAGCAAACATAATAATCAACCATAGAAGTTGTCGGAAACACATACCACCTCCCCCCCCCCCCCAAACGCCACATCCAACTGTTTCACACCTTTTCACTTCCTCTCTTCGTACCCGAATTGTACCATACACACTCGAATGGAAGGACTTTCCCACTTCTTTTTCGCAGCTTGTCGATACACAAATCTCATGCATTCACGATTCTTTCTTCGCATGAAGTAACCTATGAATACTCTCTCCCAGCAACGCGCCGAAAGGAAAAAAGAAGAGGGAGAAAAAAAAGGGAGGAATGGCCAGCCTACAAATTGTCACTCGCTGCCCATGTGTGCGCGCTGCCGGGATTCCCCCATCAATGTGATTATTCCTCGTTTTTTGTTGCATTTCTTCCTTTCTGGTGATACTTTTGAGGTCTTGGCTTTTTTTTGTTTGTTGGCCTTCCCTGACTGGCGTTTGTCGGCGTAGTGGGTTCAAGAAAGGCGAAAGATGGCTTGAAATTTTTTTTTTTTTCCTTTTTTTTTCCTAGGCTTCAACAAATGCAGGGACGGACGGCGGTGGTAGTGTAAAGATGTTACATGATTGAAGGAAGAACTGCATTTCTGCATCCCAAGGTCAGCTGAGGAGGACTGGATTTGATTTGAGTCAAATCACACAGCTCAGAAAGGAGGCCAGCATTATATATACACATATACCTAAGGGAGAGGGGGAGGGGGAGGACCTGGGTTGAGCAGTACGAAGGGGATGGTCAGAGGATGAGATGAGGATGGATGTGTAAAGATAGGGGAGCAAAGGCAAGCAACCAAGCCTTATGTGCTTTGCTCTGCTAGCACCCTGATCACCTACTTATCACCACTGTTTTCAATGAATACCAATATCACATATAGTATACTTCAATCTTGCCTTTGATGTCTCTACTGGTAAGTGGCTGGATTTTGCGACCTTGGTGGCTGCATGCTCTACTTCTCACATGACTCTTCAACTGCCAGTCCTTTGTGTTGTGTTGGGTGGAAGCGTTCTAGAGGCTGCTTCAGACTCTTAGAGCTCATACATGCTCCTCATGACATCTTATTGTTAACCAAGCTGATAATGGGAAAGATAGATAATATGAAATATGAGATTCCTTTTTGCTCCTGTCGCTAAACATCGAATGTCGATTGTTCATTGTTGGTAAATCTGAGAAGAGCATCAGAAATAGTTAAAGACTTCATATCCATAACAGCAAGCGTTTCGAACTTTCCAGCACAGATGGCGAAATTTGCAGGTTTGCTAGAGCTGATGCTAGAAGGGATTTGCGGAACATTCCAAAAAGAAAGGAAAAAATCTCACTTCATCTACGACCCGTATAGCTATGAGTGAGCCCACATTTCATCACACTGTGCCATTCTTTGCCTTCCGACCGCCCCGAGTAGGACGGTACTCTTCGTCACTGTCCCCAGACCTGGGTCCTCGCTGACGCTTTCGGGTAGTCGACTCGAGATACTCCTCGCTGTACTGCACCTTCTTCTTTCGCTGGCGTGTGATGCGAGTAGGCTTCTGTTCCTCCTCACCAGCGAGAACTTCGCTTGCGACCTGAACCTCCCCACCCAGCTTAGGGTTCAGAATCGCCTCCGCTGTTTCAGTGGCGCCAAGATTCTGAGAGCCGGCCTCGTCACCAATATCAGCTTCCTCCTTCACCTCCTTTGCCTTCCGCTTCCGACTGGCTTTGGCTGGGTTGGGTCTGGGTTTATTGCGATCCAGCAGGTTCTCTAGAGGGCAGACGCAATCCTCCCAGTCCTTGTTGCCCTCTCTCGTGCTGGCCTTGCAACGCTGACACTTCTGGCCGTGCTCGATAAACAGCTGGTGGAGTCCGTACTTGAGATGGTCAGGGATCCACTGGTCCAGGTGTGCAAAGGCCTTCTCTCTTCCAACGTCCTCCCGAAGGTCTCTTGGCAGCCAGCCAAGCCATTGTGCCATCCGGAAACAGTGAGTGTCCACAGCAAAGCAAGGCTCCTGGAGACAGAATAGGATCACACAGGCGGCCGTCTTTACGCCGACACCTCTGAGAAGGACCAGCTCATTCATGGCGGCCTCTGTAGACAAGACTCGAAGGTGCTCAAGAGAGATGACGTCGTTTTCGAACATCCATATTTCCATATCCTTCTGGCTCTGCGTCAACTTGTCTGCACCAGGCACGTCAGCAGGCACTCCATCTGCCTTCTCCCGCTTGAATGCAGCGGCGCGTATGGAATTGACACTGTAGGCGGTCTCGAGGATATCTAGGACGGCCTTGCTCCCAATTTCCTGAAGGCCACCAGAGCGGATAACGGACTTGAGTTCGGCGGCCCCTCTCAAACGAACCTTGTTCCAGTCGATGCAATTCTTGACAGGAGTGACTTCTTCGCCGTCAATCACGACTGACTTGGTCACAGTTCCGTACGACTCGACGATGTTTTGAATAGCTTTATCGGCATGCTTCATGGTGGTAGAACCGCTCAGCACAGTCCGACAGAGACCGTCGATGAGGAGTTGCGTCTCGCCACAACCAGCAACTTCAAGAGAAGGTGGCGGGATCTTGGCAGGTCGTTCAAAATTCAACTTGCCACCGGCGTGTTGCTCCTTCAGAATGTCGTAGACACTCTCACAATCCTCAGCTGATGGGCCGGCCTGCTCTGGCCAAGGGCTTTCGCCCCATGGCACCTTCGTTCTCTGTTGGTAGGGGGTCTGATTTTTGACTGGAATTCGCTTCCTGGCAACGGCCTTTGTTCTGCCATGCTCTTTTTTGAGGTCGTTGATCTCGTCCTTGGTCGGCTCAGTGTGCCCATTTTTATCTCCCTCCTTTTCTTCAAGACTGGAATGCGGTTTCGAAAGGTTCAAGCGGAGCTGACTTTGTGTTGGTTTCCTCGTTTCGGCATCGGCTGTGCTGGCATCAGGAGTCGTGACAGGTCTGGTTGTGCCAGTAGCTCCACCCTTGGCTATCTTGACAATGCCCAGTCCATGGGGCAGCATGACGTGGCCATCGGGAACCTCTGTCGCAAAGTCCTTCAAGGTGTTGTTAGCCTGTTTGCCCATGCAAGAAGACTGTCCAGAAGCCATATTGGACTGTGAGTAAACTGTCAGCATTTTCTGATGTGTGCAGTGTGCAGGTCGAGAAAGAGAGAGGTAGTATGGGAAGAGGAGAGTAAGTCAAACTGTAGTTCAAGCACCAAGTGTTCAATTAGAAACATGACAGAAGATCAGCAAATACAATGCACAATGCAGGATGACAGAGTATGTTAACAGAGAAAAGCTTAAGAACAAATAGAGAAGGATCAATGCCAATGTTTAAGAATCATAGAAAAGGGGAAGATGAGAAGCATTATATGTTATAATAAATAGAGAATGTCGAATGTCGAATGTCGTGAAGAATAGGGAGTGTCGAATGTCATAGCATCCAATGTGATAAAGAATAAGGAGTGTTGTGTTGTGAAGATAGAAAGCGTCGAGCATCATAAGAAACAAAATAGGAAAGGAGGATTGCTAGTGTTACAGAAAGAAATCAGGGACAGAGCAGCGCAAATGCCCTCAAAGTAAAACTGCGATGAGAAAGTAACATTGCAGCACTATGCGCTGCTAGTGAATGTGCATACAGCGCGGGTTGGAAGATTACCTTCCAACACACACTTTGAATTGAAAGGGAGGATCATAGTCTGAATATTACATACTGTATAGTCATGGAGTGTGCAGCCTGTGAGACTGTACAAGCGAATAGTAGGCTGTTGCTATTTTGTTATGGCGGAGAAAAGATGTTGATGATCTGAAGTGGGCAACTTCCTGCGAGATTGCGCGAACGAGCAACAGGAAGTGGCTATGTTGTTGTCATGAAGAGAGGATATTGATGGTACTGAGTACACATGCAGTGCAGGGTGTGTAGGCGATGCAGACTGGATAACCTGCGAAACTATGCAACTGAGCAGTGAGAGGTTGCTGCGTTGTTGTCTTGAAGAGGGGGTGTTGATAACCTTGGGACGTTGAGTGCACTTGAAGAATGATGAGACTGGCAGAAAGTGCCAGATTCGGCCCAGTTGGTAAAGAGCACAGTTTCTAGATTTAGACCACTGACAGCAGGTGCGTGTGGACGTTGTGGAGGATTTAGAGACTGGACAGAATGCCAGAAAAGTGATGAGGTGTTTTGGGAGGCTGTATGGCAGAGAAATGCAGCGCAGTGGAAGAGTTTGGAGAGGGAGAGTGTAAAAGAGAAGAGTTTGGAAGAGAAGCGTGTGGAAGAGAAGAGTTAGTAGAGAACTGGATTGACAGCAAGAATCGTCTGGAAGATATATCGAGGAAGGAGCAGTCCAAACCCATGCAGATAATTCGGTGTAGTGACAGGGGCCTTTGGAAAGCAGTACAGGAAGGAAGGAGCAGTGACGATGAGATAAGCTGAGAGTCGCTACAAAACAGTGATGAGGAGGGTCTGAGTGATAGCTCCAAGGTAATGATGAGAGGAAGGAGTATGGTACAGACACAGCTCTTCCCCTCTTTGTTCAAGCCTGAGCTGTCTGCGCAGACCAGATTTTGCCTCCATGAAGACCAAAACAGAATATGACAAGAGCTCATCCATTTCATTTTTACATCAATTCATGATTTTTCAGTGCAATGAACAATAATAAAAGAAGGGCAAGAAAGATGAGGAATCCGGGAAAGGAGGGGGGGGGGGCGTCATCTTGCCGACTCGGCCGTTTAGGTGCAGCTACGTCTCCTCCACGGCCTAACCTAGATTGCACCAGCATGCTTTGCTACAAGGTCTTTCGCAAATACCTTTCATTGTGTTGCAGACATGAATCTCAATTCCAGAGCGCGCATCTGCGCCGAGGGGCATTGCGTTGTTTTCATGCTCTTTGTACCCGTTCACGCACGTGACATCACGTCTTCGCGTCATTTGTGATTTAAAACTACGAGTCTTTTGGAGACTCCCATGTATGAACCTGCATTCGTGGTCCAGAGCGGTTGACTGAGCAAAAGAGATGTGCGTTGATGTGTAGGTCAACAATGCTCTGGGGTGTAGTATCTTGTGCTGGGGCCGGCAGATTGTGTCCCACCGTCCAGGTATAGAAGGAGGGTACGAGAAGGTTTATGATCATTCTAGATTGGAATAGAGGTCTGAAACCCGGGAGTGGTATTGGTAACCTTAATGGCGGCAGTCCCACTGGGTTCCCATGATAGACTGTACTGGGGTAGGGGTGGAGGGGTCTTGCATGCATGGCACCGGAATCTCAACCTCTGCAAAGGATTCACTTGCTGAATCGGAAAACCAAGCAACACTCTGTAGTATCTGGAGCAGCCAAGGAGTTATCACGAGTATCAACGGAAATTGGGGGCGTGATCAAGGTCGTGCGAACACAGTGACAACACTGTTCAGAGTAAGGTGTTCAGACCCAAGCTGGCACGCGGGGCAAGGTCGCGTTGCATTCCTCTGGAGCTGGGTTGATGAAGCAAGGCCCAGCTCATCCTCCGTCGCACCTTTCTTGTCGATATCAGATCGAAATCTAAACTAAATCTTTTAACTCAATTCTTAAGGAGGTCTATCAATACTCATAATTTCTGAAATAATGAGAGGTTGGACTACGACTTTGAACGAGACGTGGGAAAGCTCGAGTATGTTGTCAAATCGAAGGTTCCGATCCCGTGTTCACTGCCACAAGCCGCTCGCTCAGCGGCACTATTTTCTGTCTTTCAAGCGCTTTGCTGATCACACGGAATCCGCCTGATCACTGAGGCCTTTTGATTATTATATTGCATTTTCTTCGGTGAAGTGTGATTTTATGTCGAGGCAGGCATAACCGGCGGAGTCAGCCCATCCCAAAAAGCCGAGACAACATTCCTCATCCGACTGTTTTGACTTGCCTGCCTGTATACTTTGAGGAGAAGCTGCCGCAAATAAACACAGAAGTACTTGAAGGACGGTATGATGTAAGCTCTCTGGAGATGATGCCGCGCTTTGCTGCTACGCGTCTTTCTCAACCATGAGGTTTACAAAACCCGTTCACTCGCAGTCCTTTTGCCCGCCCCTGGTTTTCTCACGAGTCTGGGCCAAACAAGCAATACCTCCCCCTCTCCCTCCCCCCTAGAATCCGTCTTTCACTCAATATGAGAGGTTCTACTATTGTTCTATGGGCATTTTGCGCCTCCAAGTCGCAGGCAGTAGACGTCTTTGACGAAGAGGACTGTTCCGTGGCGACGCGGACGATTGGACAAATAACGAAGCTGGAATACGCCTTCGCGTCAGAAAATACAACATCTCTTCTCGAGCAGCCGGCGGAGGCAACATCTGGACTAGACTCCGAGAACTCTCTGCTATCTTCTCTGCTATCAATGGAGCTGACGGTGCCGTCGACGGGGCTCGCCGAAACGTCTACCACATCGACATCGTCTGCAGGCTGCTCCCACGCACCAGAGGTGGATGATTTTGCCTGTCACAGGTGTCAGGCTCCGGGCGCTGGCAGTATTGCCCTGGAGAGCTTGAAGAAGAAGAGGTCCGTGGCTAATATTTTTGCCTGTATCGATGAATGCATGGGGAACTCGGCTTGTATGGGCGCATCCTACCAGAAAGGTACTCGCAACTGTATCCTATTCCAGTTAATTACAGGCCTCGCCGCTCTGAGCGGCTACGACACCTATATCAAGACAGCGGCAGTTGCAGTTACCACTACCACCACCACGACGAAGCGCACCACCACAACCACGACAACTGGGAGAACTTCAACTTCAACGACAAAAACCACCACCACCTCAAAAACGACTCCCAAACAGTCTGGGACTACCCAAGTCAGCACGTCTAGAACGACTACGAAGCCGACTACTATTGGCGGTACGTCTCTGCATCTTTCTTACATCATCTCTTCGTCTAGACAATCAACATCAACTCTCCCTGCTTCTTCGATTACTTTCACCAAGATCACTGGGGAACCAGCAATTATTTCTTTCAGCATCTCTTCTTCAAGCGTCATTATCAACAGAAGTAGTACAGCATCGCCACGTGAAGTTTCATTGAGCGGAACACCTTATATTAGCCACTCACCGGCTAGATCGGTTGAGTCGAGCTCTTCTTCCAGCAATGTACAGACGCCAGCAACAAGAGGCTCGTCCACAATCACTTTTGGAACTCCCATGTTACATACATCGGCCTCGCAGACATTGCCGAACACCGATGCGTCCATGACTTCGTCACTCCCTGTGAGCTCGCCAAGCCAGACCACGATGACGACAAGCGTCAAAGGATCAGACAGCCAAAGCGCAACCGGTCAGCAAAGGAGCAGCGAGCAAGCAAGTAGTCTCACCAGCACACTTTCTCTGTCGCAGCCGAGCTCCGGCACAACATCCCAGCCTTCTTCGGTTTCCAGCAACGCAGATTCGAGTTTTCCAGCATCCAGCGTCCAGATCTCGAGCAGCTTGGCTACCAGTAGTAGCCTAGCATCGACTATGCCGGAGTCCAAGCCACCTACAGGCAGCCAAACCTCATCAAACACTATTACCTTGGCATCATCGAGCGTCTCCACATCATTCATCACGTCAGAAGAACCATCGAGCACAATAACAGCAATATCGCCGTCTTTCTCTTCTTCCAGCATCTCAACGGTTTCGAGTACATTGAGCATATCAGTATCGTCGAATATCTCAGCATTCAGCTCGCTGGCACCTGATCAAACCTCGACGAGTAGCACGTTCAGTACCACCACAGATTCATCATTCGAGCCCACCATCACATCCTTTTCGACGCCGCAAGGCGGCAGCAGCAGCAGCAACAACATCAGCAGCACGTCAACAACACTTCAGACAAGCCCCTCATCCACATCTTCCCTTCCTATCGCCATGGTGTTCAACGTGGTCAGTGGCACGGTGAACACCTTCAGCTTCGCGCGATTTGGAACTATCTCTTCCATCGTCTCAACTAGCCCCCAAGTATCCTTTGTCAATGTGACATTTGACAATTCGGGTATCGAGGTGGATCCGCCAGCGGGCTACATAGGACCAGTGATGGTTACTCTTGTGGTCATGCCAACGGAGGGAGGAGACTCCAGCACCATCCTGGCTCAGCTGAACATTGTGGCCCCGTCGTCTTCATCGTTATCGTTATCGTCCTCTTCCTCTTTCAATTTTAGCGGCTATTCATCCATATCCACATCCATATCCACCAGTGAACAATCATCATTGTCTACAGCTTCCACATCACTTTCATCACAAGCAACGCAGCAAAGCACCACCAGCACGGCGGCTAGTTTGCAGATATCATCATCAACTGGGCAGAGTCCGTCGTCTACCACAAGCTCGCTAATTCTCAGCATAGGTTCCACCACCAGCGCCCGCACCTCTTCCCAACCTCGCAGCAGCAGCCTTACGAGCAGCAGCCCATCTGCCTCCCCGACCGTCCCGTCGTGCGGATTCACCGGCTATGACACGGGCACCAACATCGGCTATTACGCAGACGCCAGCTTGGCCACTTATTTCGGCTGCAGCAGCCTGTGCAACGCCAACGCGGCCTGCCTTAGCTTCGCCATCAATCCGTCCGCGCCTGCTTGCATCCTGTACGAGCATGATCTCAGCGTTGACCTGTACTCGGCCTCGAGCCCCAACACCTTCTACCTGCGGGGTGGCTTCTGTCCGCCTGCGACGACGACCACGACGACCTCATATAGCCCGACCCCAACTGGGAAGTTTCCCTATGTAAGTTACCATCCATCACTTTTTCACCCAACAAACCCCTCCTGCAAACTGCCCTGTCCAGGAAGAACAGGGAGACTGACAGGGAGGTGTAACTTCTTTTCTTCTTCTTACAAAAATTCAGTGCCCGGCCGGTTTGTCCCCCTACAACGTCACCCAAGTCACGGCTGGTACTCAACAGCCCTACACCCCTTGCATCGCCGGCAAGTCCGCCTCTGCCTGCATGCACGACATTGACGGCAACAACTACTGCAACGACTGCATCTCGTGCCTCAATGGCTGGGCCTGTGCGTCAGACGCCGATTGTCCGGCCGGCTACGCGTGTATCGTCGGTTCAGACTGTCCTGGGAATGGCACCACGGGGGTTGCCATGTGTCTGTACATGTTGTATAATCCGGCGTATAACTGTTATGCCGCGGCTTGAGGGGGTGGCTTTGTCTGTGTGTGTGAATTGGGAAGGGGGGAAAGATCCATTGTAAATGGGACGGAAGGAGGAATTAGAAGAGAGACTGGGGCAGGGACCATCGACCTTTTTTCATTTTTTAATTCTACATTTCTCCTCTTACTTTCTTTGATTTCTGGTATCGTAGCGCTACTTTGAGCGTCAACTGATTTCCTAGTATTTGTGTGTTTGACGCGCGTAATAATCAAGGTGTAGGCATGAGAATATCGAATGGTATATGGTCTCTTTGTATTATCGTTCGACTTGTTACTTTGCAGGCCGGTTTCTGATGGGAAAGCAGAACTGAATATGGACACGACGAGGTTGACGACAGAAGGGGTTGTCTCTAAGTCGGCGGTATGAAGCGTCGTTGTGATGCTTAGTCATTTACTTACCCACAGCAGGTTGTACGGCCCGAACCGCCGCGAGCGGAGCAAATTCGCTATTGATACTAAGGTATGTTGTTATGACCCATCCAACATGCAGGTCACAGAACAGGTCACGAGTAACAGGGACCAGGTGTCAAGGACTCAACGTTCTGACAAAGCATTGATTACATAACCCAGGGTTAGGGTTGTAAAGGAGGGAGGATCGTTGGGCTCGCTAGCGATCCCAACGAGCTTCACACCTTGGATCGCTAGACTCGCCAGCGATCCCAACGAGCCATACTGAAGAGCTGGATATATAAGGATACGGTCATTACCATTAGACGGATTCAGTACATAGCTCTTCAGTTGTCAATCTAAGTATTCAGTTTCATACACTGAGTAGCCCCAAAGGCAGTGAACACTTGCATCGCTTATTAGGACTTGTACGGTTCCGTATTCAAGGACTTGACACTTTGATACCGCTCTTGTTAGCATAAACCCCTTCGTGTACTTAGGAATCTTCGGATTGCTGCAGTGCTCATTACATTTTGACAACTCTTGTTCAAGAACGGTTCAGTGTTACCCCTTGAGCAATACGGAACACGATGGCTCCTCCAGGAACCCCTTCGTCCCCGCGCGCCCCCACTCAGGAAGAACTGGTCAACCAGGTGTACCAGCTTACCCAGCGTATCCAGGACCTGCGCGAATAACAGCAGGCTCAGAGCGCTACCATCGCCAACCAACAGGCCCAGCTAGCCCAACAGGCCCAGCTAGCCCAACAGGCCCAGCTAGCCCAACAGGCTCAGCAGGCGCAGTCTATCTCTGCAACCACTAGTGGCGCTGGAAAAGCATACAAGATGGACAAGCCCGCCATGTATGATGGCAATCAGAAGATGCTGCATGGGTTCCTTACCCACTGCAGGGCGTACTTTTTGCACCATGCAACCTAGTTTACCATGGAATCCGAGAAGGTTATTCTTGCAGACATTCGTCTCGAGAAAGATGCTCTCATCTGGTACGAACCTTCTCTACGCAACCACTTGGAGCATCAGGACAATCCCAACGCGCGTACCCAGGGTACCAAGGATATGTTCGATTCTTTTGAGGGCTTCGAGAAGGCTCTCAAAGAGATCTTTGGTGATCTCAACGAAGAACGCACTACAGCTCAGCAGCTTATGGATCTCAGGCAGACCAAGTCGGCTTCTGTCTATACGGTCAGGTTCAAGCAGCTCTCAGCAAGACTTCTGTAGGAAGATAAGAATCTCATGGAGCACTATTATAAGGGACTCAAGAACAACGTTAAGAACGAAATCTCCAAACAGGATTGGCCAGAGGACTTTGCGACGTTCTCTAATCAAGCTATCCGCATCGACAACCGTCTGTATGAACGACGGGTGGAGAAGTCTAAGAAGGAAGGAAGCCAGACTTGGAGGTTTCCAGCTAATACGGGCAAGAAACTCCAAAACAAGAATAGCAGTCGATATAGCAGTATGGCTCAGAGCAGCACTATGCATGCCGGTTCCATGGAACTCGATGCAGCCAACAGGCAGTATAGCAAGAGGAACAGCGTTACTTGCTACAACTGCAACAAACAAGAACACATTGCATGCAACTGCCATCAACCCCGGAAGAACAAATAGCAACCAGTCCAGGAAGGACGCCAGGTGAATGTTGCTCAGCGACAGGAACCCAATCAACTGAGCAACACCCCCTCGGAGCAAGTATTGAACTCTGTCGATCATGGAAGTCTCAGCTGGATATTCTGCTATGATGACAACTGCTTAACATACCTCTCGAGTAAGGAAGGTTCAGGATGGTTCCCTCAGAAACCTAGGCGCTGCAGACAAATAGCAACAGCAGGACGAGAATGCATGCCCAGCACCCCCACGAATAGCAACTCGGACTGCTCCAACATCGTGGAACAGAGCATCCAGGCGTTGGAAGAAGGGCTTAGCAACAATACCCTTCAACATTCTTCATCGCCTACGCCAAGCACCATGACCAGGAACATGGATAAGGGATGGTACCCTCTTGGCTACTGGTACGAACACCTAGGCAACATAGAGAATGCCTCTCAGGCAGCAGAAGGATCAAGCCAGAGCAAACAACCTAGCAGCCTGCAAAAGCTCCCTGCAAACAACATGCCCAATAAGCTTAAAGGAAGGTTTCCCTTCAGCATTGGGTGGAACAAGGAAACAACATAGATCAAATATCTCATCTATGGAATAGAACTAGAGAAGCTCTTCACCTGCATCCCCTTGCAGAACATCGAGGCACGAGAGGATGAGGATCCTTGAGTCAGCTCACTTCACAACCTATACCACGAATTGGCTTGGATCTTCTGCACCTATCATAGCTGCAGAACGCATTTCTCGGAGAAGGTACAACACGAATAGTTCCCCGTCAGAGAACCAGAACAAATCCTTCAGGCTGTTGAAGAAAAGGAACTCCGCTTCAGAGAAGTTCTCAACAGATAGCACTACAATGCATACATTGGGCTACTAGACAACTGCTCCATGCAATGCATAAACAAAAAGATAGAATGGTAGCAGTGCAAAACAACACTCTGCACGATTTACATCAACAACAAGGTTTGCGACTAGCATTAACAGAAGAAAGATCAGGAACAATAATGATACGGGCAAAGGCAAGCTAAGAAGCTTGCTTAAGAAGCAGCGAAGCAGGCTCAGGAGAACAAGCAGTCCTTGACGAACTCAAAAGAACAGGATTGCTTGTAAAGAAACTGCAGATGATCAGACCGGAACAATCCCTATATAGAGCTTTCAAGGCAGATTACGCTCACATCAAGTTCGACATATACATTCAAGAACACAAATACAGCGCACTATTGAACAGTAGCGCTCAGGGAAACTTCATATCCCCACACATTGTTAATCAGGCATAACTACAATGGAGATGGAAGAGACGCCCATACACCCTCAGCACCATAGAAGAACAACCTGTTGCATACAATCAAGGAGTAATCGATAAGGAGACTGATTATCTACCTATCTTGATCCAAGAATACGTAACCAGAGCTTCCTTTGATATCACGGATACAGCACAGCATGAGCTGATTATGGAGCTTCCATAGCTCAAGAAGCATAATCCTCGAATCGATTGAACTACTAGCTAGCTCTCATGGGAACAAGCTGTACCCAGAGAGATAGTTACAATCAACAGCGCAGGATCGAAGCTAGTGATTGAAGAACACTCAGGAAAAGAGGCTTTACACAACTTCACACATACCTTCAAGTCAGCAGGGCTAGCAGCTCAAGGAGAAGGACCTAGTAATAGGCGAACCCAAACAGTGCCAGGGCGCCAACAGGTTAGCAAAACAACGGAAGCGAGACCCTCAGCAAGTCGGTCCGCCCCGGAGCGACAAGGAAAGGCTTCAGAAAGTGGATTGTGGATCCACACAGGAAAAACCTCGAAACCAGGCCCTCGAGCGCTCGCTCCGGCCCGGAGCGGACGCTCAAGGCCCTCAAAAACGCCATCAGAAAAGAAGCACGCTCAACAGTACCTACTGTTCCTCCAGGTAGCAGAAACAGCACAAGGACCAGAACCAACACTCGCAAACATACCACGAGAATATCACAAGTTCAAGAAACTGTTCCAGGAAGAATTGGATACAGGATTGCCAGAACACAGCTCGTACAACCACGAGATCCTGCTACAAGAAGGAAAACAGCCCAAATTCTTCCCCATCTACGAACTAGACAAGGCACGGCTAGAGGCACTCAGGGAGTACCTCGATGAGAACCTTAAGAAAGAATATATACAATCATCGCAATCACCAGCAGAATACCCCATCCTGTTTGTACCTAAGAAAAACAGCAAGCTCAGGCTATGCATTGACTACAGGCAACTCAACGACATCACGATCAAGAACCGATACCCGTTGCTACTCATCAAGGAATTACGAGATAGGTTGCAAGGAGCACAATGATTTACAGTCCTGAACCTGAAAGGAGCTTATAATCTGATCAGAGTAAAGGAAGGAAAAGAATGGAAAACTGCTTTCAGAACACGCTACGAATACTACAAATATTTAGTTATGCTCTTTGGTTTAACGAATGCCCCAGCTTCGTTTCAGGAAATGATCAATCACATCCTATGCAAGCACCTGGATCAGTTCATTATTGCCTATCTCGACAACATCCTTATTTACTCTCGAACACTTGAAGAACACAAGAAACATGTGGAAATAGTGTTGCAAACGCTCCAGGATGCGAAACTCCTTGTGGAACCTGCAAAGAGCCACTTTCATGTACAAAAAGTCGACTATCTCGGATTCATGATCAAGCTGGGATGCATCAAGCTACAGAAAGATAAGGTAGAAGCTGTTAGGAACTGGCCAATTCCCAGGAATATCAGGGATGTTAGGTCTTTCCTCGGATACGTTAACTTCTACAGGCAGTTCATTAAGAACTACAGCCGGATCGCACACTCTCTTACAAATCTCACTAAAAAGGAATAGCCTTTCGAATAGACCTCCAAGGCACAAGAAGCTTTCAACGAGATCATCAGGCACGTTACCTCAGAACCAGTTCTGTGTAAAGCAGATCCCTATAAACTCTTTGAAGTTGAAATCAATGCATCGGGATATGTACTTGGAGAACAACTTGATCAGCGAGATAACCAAGAATGTCTAAGGATTGTAAGCAACTTTTCAAAGAAGTTGAATAGCTCGGAAATCAACTACAGGATCCCTGATCAGGAACTCATGGTAATAGTGAAGGCTTTTGAGGAATAGCAACACTACTTTATTAGCATACAATACCCGATCATAGTTCACTCGGATCACAAGAATCTGACTACGTTTATGACAACCAAAGTCTTGAACAAACGATAAGTCAGATGGGCAGAATTCCTCTTACAATTCGATTTTAAAATTGTGCACTGCAAAGGCTTGGAGAATGGATGAGCAGACGCTCTCAGCAGGAGATCAGATCATCGAAACGCAGATTCTTCGGATATACAGAATATCTTCGCCCAAAACGAGTCAGGAAACCTCGTTAATGCATACAGAGAACTGAACGCTGCCCTCAGGATCGGATTCTCAGGAAAAGACTCAGAATCGATGATTCCAGACGAACAAGACAACTACATCAAGGATGTATACAGTGCACCAGCACACGGATATCAGGGAATCAGAGCAACCTACGAATGCATCAAGAAATACTGAAACCTACCAGGTCTTAGGAAAAGAATTGAGAGCATCCTATAACAATGCAACAGCTGCAAGAAGAATAAAGCAGAAAGATACAAGCCTTACAGACTACTGCACCTCTTACCAGTACCTATAACTGTTTAGCAATCCATTAGTCTAGACTTCATTACTAAGCTACCTCTCTCACGAGAACCCTTAACTAAGATGCAATACGATAGCATCCTAGTAGTGGTTTGCAGACTGAGCAAGTATGCTTATTTTCTTCCCTATAAGGAAAGCAGTACAGCAGAGGAACTTGCATATGCATTCCTCAGAACAATCATTGCTAACCATAGCATGCCAGAGGAGGTAATCTCCAACAGAGATAGGAAGTTCAACTTGAAGTTTTGAACTTCGCTTATAAAACAGCTCGGAATACACTACAGAATGTTCACAGCATTTCATCCACAAACAGATGAACAGACGGAAAGAATGAATCAAGTTATTGAATAGTATCTTCAGCACTATATCAATCAGAAACAGAACAACTGGATTGATCTGTTGCCTCTTGCACAGTTCGCTTATAATAGCGCAGATACGAGCACGACGAAGAAGTTACCATTCTTCATACTCTATGGATATAACCCAACAGCTTACCACAAGGTACTGCCAGAAGCAGATGCAGAAGCTGCGGATAAAAGGGTTAAGAAGATTAAGAAAGTTCAGAAGAAACTCCGATCAGAATTACAATTCGTTCAAGAACGAATGACGCAGTACGCAAACTCCAAAAGAATTAAGAAACCAATCCTACAGAAGGGAGATAAGATCTACCTACTTCGAAAAAACATCAAAACAACTAGATCTAGCAACAAACTCGACTACAAGAAGTTGGGATCATTCAAAATCTTGCGATAGATTTCTCCGGTTAACTACGAGTTAGCATTACCTCACAGGATGAGGATATACCCGGTTTTCCACATCTCACTGCTGGAACCAGCAGCACAGGAAACACCAACAGACAATACAGCAGAAGTGGAAAACAATGAACCAGAGTATGAGGTAGAGAAGATTCTCAAGCACAGAGGCACAGATAATACAAGGGAATACCTCATCAAGTGGAAAGGTTACCCAGCAAGCGAAAATTCATGGGAACCACAGAAGAACGTTAAAAACGCTCAGGAAAGAGTAGCTGAGTATTGGAAAAAGAAGGAAACCAGTACCTAAGACGATCGCTCCGCCCCGGAGCGAGACCCAGAAGCCTCGGGAACCTCACTCTCCAGAAAGCCCGACCAATCTACCACAGAATTCCAGTCAAAACCCTCAAAAGAAGAATCTCCAGCTACAACAGCAGATTCCTCAGCCACCACAGCCTGCACTTCGGCAGCAACACGGACCCTCTCAGCCTCGGCCTCCTCAGCCTCCTCCTTCTCAAGATCTTCGAGATTCTTGAGACCTCGACGAATAGCCCGAGACATCCTCTCACGCCACATCTTCTTTTGTTGACGCAGTCGAAGCAACTTCAACTCCAACTCTTCTATCTCGTCCTCCAGCTTTCGATGCTGAGTAGAGGTAAGAAGGAGTTCGGCAGCGTTCGTCGGCTCCAGAACGTCGCATTTGGCGCGATTCTGGGAAACGCACTCCGAGCAACGGGATGAATCGTGAGGAGAAACGATACACGATTGCAGGCCTCGACTATCGCAATAAGAACAGGGATGCATATCGAAACTGTTTGAAAGAATGGACTGAAGAAGGAGATCTTTCTGCTTCTTTTTGTCAGAGCGAGGATTCGAGGATTTCGGTTTCGCGACTTTGTTGATTCTGTTCGGCATCTCGATTAGGAAGGCAAGATCATGAACACGAAGACTTGCCAGGATACTTACAGAAGATCGTTGAGGACAACGACTGATAGGAGGGAGATGATGTTATGACCCATCCAACATGCAGGTCACAGAACAGGTCACGAGTAACAGGGACCAGGTGTCAAGAACTCAACATTCTGACAAAGCATTGATTACATAACCCAGGGTTAGGGTTGTAAAGGAGGGAGGATCGTTGGGCTCGCTAGCGATCCCAACGAGCTTCACACCTTGGATCGCTAGACTCGCCAGCGATCCCAACGAGCCATACTGAAGAGCTGGATATATAAGGATACGGTCATTACCATTAGACGGATTCAGTACATAGCTCTTCAGTTGTCAATCTAAGTATTCAGTTTCATACACTGAGTAGCCCCAAAGGCAGTGAACACTTGCATCGCTTATTAGGACTTGTACGGTTCCGTATTCAAGGACTTGACACTTTGACACCGCTCTTGTTAGCATAAACCCCTTCGTGTACTTAGGAATCTTCGGATTGCTGCAGTGCTCATTACATATGTACTTAGAGCCCCTTGGGGGGGTTTGCTGGGCAATGAATGCATTCTGATCCGTGAGAGCAAGCCAACGGCCAATGCATGACTCGAATGAAATAGGCACGTGCTGTGGTAACAGATGAGGATGATTTTGACAAAACGACGAAACGTTGGTGATTTATGAGCCGTTGCATGAGATGAGGTGCGTGGCCGTTCTCAGCAATTGCGCTCGACGGTTGAGGCATGGGACAAGTACTTGTCACAAAGGTGGAAGAAGTTGGCAGAGTATGAGCAGATGACTTTTGGTATAATTATATGCAAAACCCCTCATTACGATTACATCGCTATTGATGCTCCCACCTAGTCCTACAAAAGTACGCAAGAACTCCTCGCTGCTGCTGTGCGTGTGTATTTCGCATCCTTCAGTTTTTCGTCACGTGCTCATCCATCAGCCATCAATTACAGAGCAGCGGCCAAGAGAGCAGCGACGCCCGCAAGAGCAACGGGGAAGTTCACAGCGCCGGCGGCGGAGGAGCTCGAGCTCGAGCTGCTGCTGCTGGACGCTGTCGAGGTGCCGCTGGAGGACGAGGACTCGGTGGTGGTGGCAGTGCCCGACGCGGCCGAGCCAGAGCTGCCGGACGAGGAGGTGGAGCCCGCTGAGGAGTTTCCTGACGCGGTGGTCGTGGTGATTGTTGTGCCGGCGGCGGAGCCGGTCGCGGTGGCGGAGGCTGCACTTCCGGTACCAGTGGCGGCGCTGGTGGCGGAGGCTGTGGTCTCGTCACTGCTGACAGCGGTGACACCCCATGCGGCCTCGAAGGAGGACAGCAGGCTGGCCTGAGCAGCGGTAGCACTGGACTGGAGGCTCGAGTACGCGGCGTTCAGGGCGGTGCCGGTCAGGGTGACGGAAGCCTCAGCCGAGTGAAGCTGGTTGTCAATGACTCCGACAGCCGACTGGTAGGCTTGGAAGGCTGAGGTATACCCAGTCTCGACGGCGTTGACCTGGAAATAATTGACCGGGTCAGCTCATTCATTCTTTGAGTAGCTAGAGGGGGACAGCATCTTTCTCTGTATTAAAAGGGGAAGGGAAAAAAACATACAGCGACAACGCTGAGGGTAGCGACGATGGCGGCCTTGAACTGCATTTTGACGGACTTTGTTGTGGTGGATTAAGTTCGTGATGGGTGTCTGGCAGAAAGAGAGAGAATTGGCTGGTCGCTATGATTTCTCAAAGTGTACGAGAGAGAGAGAAGGAAAGAGAAAATTGGATTATTGTCAGGACGCGTCGAGACGGGACAAGAGCAAGCAATAAAGGGGCTTCAAGTGGTGGCTGGGTGGTCGGATCGAGGCTTTGGTAGAAATTCAAGGTACAGCACTAGCTCGGCAGACGGCATATCGCGAAACGGCCCTAATGCTAGGTTTAGACACACCGTACCATGCAGTGGTGCGCGCAGGGGCATTGAAATGACCAATTTAGGACACGTCATGGCGCGATCGAGTGCATATGCGGCAATGCACGAAGGAGCAAGGAAGAGTTCTACAGAGGGCTAAGGAGCCACCCGCGCGCACACGCTGGACTTGAGAGGTCATAGGCAACAACAACTCATCAAGCCAAGCCCAGCCACCTTGGCTCTCCAGTCTGCAGAGGAATGGCCCAAAGAAAAGGGGCCGGGGGCGGGGGGCAAAATAAGAAAAAAGAAGAAACAAGAAACAAAAATAAGGTAAGATTAAGCTAACTGGATCAGTCTTGTGTATACTACATAGGAGAGGCCCGAGACCAACCATCCTTCTCGTTCTGAGACGAAGCCAAGAAGCGTTATTTGGGGTCCGCAGTCACATTGCTAGGATTGCTGCTTGGATTCTCTAAGCGCCCATTGACACATAAATACATACATAACGTCCTATGTAATTAGATCGTCTAATAGTTCAAAGGCATGCTGACCACGGACAGGGTTGTTTATTGACCGGGTAACTATATAATACCATGGCATAATTGATGAGCTGTATGTGGTGTGTTGTTTGCCCATGGTTTGATTTGCCGGCGAGATGACGAATACTTGTGGGGATCTCGGCTGAGGGAGCCTTGCACTTCCCCAGAACGCCACCTGAAGTTCCCGGCCAATCGTGATTATGCTTGAGGATCAGCGAGCTCACCAGGATGTGGCAGCCTGCAGACGGCCCTGTCCCTGCTACCTATTTGGCGAGGCAAGTGCGAGGGTCTGATACCCCTGTCCCTTCCATCACGTTGACGGCGGCCCTGTGGCAATACCGTATACGAGAAACCAGCCCTCACCCGCGTCTGCAGGCTTCACAAGCCAGTATTCTGAAAACTTCAAACGCCACGGCTAGGGCTGATGCCTTAACTAAGCACAGCAGGAGATCTCTGCTCTGGAGGACCGTGCAATGGGATGTTTCCGACAGCGGAACGAATATGCAAAGACCTTCCTCTCTCTCTCTCTCTCTCTCTTTCTCTTTTTTTTTTTTTTTTTTTTTTTTTTAATTTTTTTATTCTTTTTTATATAATTCATTTGATTGACAACTCTTTTATTTTTACATATATTCAACGCTGATACAGCCCCGTAGCCTCCTTTCGGGATGCATTTGTTCGAGTTTGCCAAAGACGGAGACGGTGGTCTGGAGGAGGCTCGTCGCAACGGCTGACTTCCACGTCATGCGGGACAAGAGGAGACAGCATTCCGAGCACAAGGACATGTAGAGGCTACAGTGGGATGTCGGGGACGAAGGGATCAAGGAAGGACCGACCTGATTTATGGCTATGTTGGACGAGAGAGATGTGAAGGAGTGGAAATCTTACCGCTCAACAGGATTCGCTCTCAAAGGGCTAGGGATGACTGAACTCGAAGGTAACCAAAGTCATGCCCAGATTGACAGAGGTACCCGTTAGGAATTCACTGATTGGAAGATCGGAAAGGAGGAGACCCTCATAGAGGTCCTCAGAGCTGAGGATATCATCAACTGGGTTTCCTCCGCCTACGATTAGGTTGGAATCATGATTGTACAGAATCTCGGGACTGTCATTATCGAATTATAGATGTAACTTTGACAAGACCTAATTGATCAACACTGCCTAGCATTGCTGTGTAGCCCGAATCTGACCACCTGAAAATCCTGATGGATCGTTTCGTCGATGACTCTGACCCATCCACTATTTCCAATCCTTTTCAGATTCACCCTGCCGACCAGACGGCTACGACTATGGACTGGCTCGCGACCGTGTATTACGTGCAATACGCTGATGGCTTAGCCCTTGGCATTATCCAACTCAAGTGCACGAAAACACGATCCAGCAGCCACTTACAACGTTACCTGTAGCACGACTAGGAATGGCAACCATCTGGGCCACGCTCCTGACCCTTTTGCTGGCCAGCCGCTCCAGAATAATGTCCTAAACATCAACGGCGAGGTTATCCAGGAAAGAACCGAGGGATGCGCCGTTGTTTCACACGCGCTGCAGATGATCAGTACTCTGTTATTGCTGGCATATATATTATTGTGGCAGATACTGGTCTATGAGATTAGGAAAGTGATGTACTGGGCTCCAGCACTAGCTACAAACAAGGACATAGAGCAACTGGGTTTAGCCTTAGACCACAACAGAGAGTGGCAGCCAAAATTCTTCGTATTAAGTCTTATTCACGCTGCTATCGCCCGAGCTCAATTGACTTATGCCCAAACCGAATTGTATAGGGCTTATTCACTTGGCTCCACCATCGTTACGGTATTCCGCTCAGTAGGAGAATCTTTCTTGCGTGCCACCACCCACATAAACTCGGCATCAAAGTCTGGATCACCCTCCTCCAATTTCCCATCGCCTGCCTGCAATACTTCCACCTGCAATAAGTCGAATCCGATTTCCCTAAGCAGTGCTTCATTCCCGTCGACGTCAAAGCTACTCCAGAACATTCCATATCCCAAGAATTCGCCATGGATTTCTTCCTCGTCGATGGTTGTGAGATTGAACACAAAGACTCCGTTAGGCTTTAGCCAACTGTGGATCTTTGTGAGCATATCTTTGAGCTTCGACCGTGGAAGATGGAACAGTGTGTAGAAACTGATTGCTCCGTGGAAGCTCTCAGGCTCGAAAGTGAGTGCTGTCATGTCGCCCGCAACAAGCTCAGCGTCTGGGAAGCGGGCCTTGGCCATCTCGATTTGCTTCGTCGATATGTCATTTGCGACTACGTGTGCGCCTTGGTCGAGAAGCAGTTGCAAGACGGGAACGCCAGGGCCACAACCAAGCTCTAGAATAGAAGGTGAAGGTGGCAGCTCCTCAAGGAGCTTCTTGGCGTATCTCTCTCGCGGTGATTTCTGGCTCTCGACCCATTGCAAATACCATTCTGAGATGTGGTCGTAGGCGTATTCGACGATGCCTTCAGGTGTATCAGACATTTTGTGGTGGATCACAGCATGTGGAAAGCGTGGATCCGAGGTGTGGAAGATGAGGTATGTTGAATGGTGCCAGCTGCAGAAGGCAGCGGGCCGAAGCTAGCTAAACTAGCTACTACAGTATAGCGCGGGGAGGTGAACTGCTGACATAATCCATGGCTTTACATGATGGGCACTAAGTAACTCGGTGCACTACGCCATGATTTATAGTCACCCGTAGCGCTCTTGATAGTTTGAAAGGCTTGTAAGACTGCATCGGCATCAAGTGTTGTATTCTTGTGGGATGGCATGGCGGAGGGTTTGGCAGATGTACACACAAGCAATACTTGATGATGAACCTAGTCTGTTCCTCACGCTAATAATACTAAGTTCAGGGTTGGAAACAGATCATATGAGTTTGACAGGGGACTTATTTTGGGGTTTATTTGCAACCTTTCACTGTCTCCTCAGTTATACCAAGTGTGCTTGCATTCCCTGACGTGTAAATATTGAGGGGATGTTGTCGCGCTCTCGAAGGCGTACCCTCCCTGTGCCTCCTCCCCTCTGAAATGCAGAGGTTGGCTGTAGCTGGTCAGAAGAGGGTCAGAAGAAATGGCAAGGTTTAGGGGCTGCTGGGCCAGCAGGCCGACCCAACTACTATGGTAGTATCATCCACAGACCCTTGCGGGCCTTCCTTCCGTTCCAGTTTCCACTATACGAGAGAGCTCCAGTCAATTACCATGCGCTACAGATGAAATTTTCACAATCAATCTACAGAGTCTTGCCATATGAGAAGGGTGATCAATGCTTATTCTCTCTTTTTTCCTCATATTTTTTCTTTTATGTTTCTTCTGCTTCAAGAAATGGGGGACCCCCTCTAGGTTACGTACAAAAATTGCTATGACATGTTGCATCCAACATAAGGAAGGACGGACACAGAGAGAGGGTCGGTTTTGGGCTAAGTACCATAGTATTCAAGTATCTATCCACTTGAGTAACTGTTTCGAGTACACGATCAGCGCACTTACCCGGTACCGCACCGTGCGCACCCACCATCTCGGAGGGGACAGGCTAAATTGTTTACTACACTATGGTAGCACTATAGTACATAGTACATGCTCTTCCAGGCAGGTAACATTGAGATCAAGCCTCGACAATCAACATTTGCAGCTACCGTGTATACCCGCACCCATCGCCTGCAGGCATTCCCCTTTTTACACACTACAGTCAAGGAGCAGCAGACGTGGAGAAGGCAGGGTAGCACCACTTCACCGAACCCCTCATCACACATAGCTTCCCTTGCCACCTCGTATCTTACTGATGGATGGCCAGTCAGTGATAACGCGAACAACTGCTTAATCCATGGCTCGGGAGCGATGCTCCATTATTTACCACCAATGGGTGTTTTTGGATAGTCACGACAGCGGAGGATGAATGAATGGAGAAATACAGGACACAGAAGGGCAAGCCGAGAAAGAGGAGGACAAGACAAGATGATGGATGCATATAACGAACGGCGGCCGCGCCCCATCGACACACATCCTGGCTTGTTTGTTGTCACACGGCAAGCTGTCTCGCAGCCAGATGTGTCGATCATAAACATTTCATCATGTTGACGACATTTCTCACCCTCCTCGCCGCGCTCGCACTGGCAGCCACCGTCACCGCCCAGGGCGACACCCTCGGCCTGGCGGATGGCTTCCTGAGCTTCAGTACACAGAACTTCGACCTCGAGCTTGTCAAGGATGCGCAGGTGCTGGTCTCTCTCAAGGCATCGGGCGGCACCTTTGACTTTTTGCCATTGGGCTATCTCTCGGTCCGCGCTGGAAACGGCCAGTATCACTGGGGAGACGTCACGTTTCGATACAGGACTGTCGGCAGCACAACCTGGATCGATGGCGATTCCTCCCAGGCACGAAACCCTGTAGCCTCCGTGTCGACAGCCAGCAACAGCACGGTCCTTGCAGCCTCCAACATGGCAGCGACCTTGCCGTCCGATACGGCGGGTCTGGGCGTGACGAGAGAGTGGCTCGATGTGGACGGCGACCTGGGGCTGTCTTTCACCCTCACTAATAACGCCAGCACGTCCATCGAGCTGGGCAGTCTGGGCTTCCCTGCCGAGTTCAACAACATCTTCACCAACTACACCGCAGAGGAGACCCAAGAGTACTGCAGCCTCTCGGACCCCTACATCGGGATGCATGCCGGTTACATCCGTGTCTCGCCCATCAACGGAAATGGTGCCGCACTGGTCGTCACGCCGCTTGGGGATACACCCCTGGAGGCATACCGCAACCTCGATGAGCCATACTACGACAGCACAGCCTACGAGAGCCAGGTCTTCGAGGGATTGTATGAGTGGCAGACGCTGACGGAGGCATGGGCCGAGAACGAGTGGAACGCGAGCGAGCCCTGGAACACGCCGTCCTCCAAAGTCCTGGCCCCAGGCGAGGCTTTGACCTTTGGGCTCAAGTTCTCGCTGGCTGATGGTGGCATCGAGACCATCGACGACGAGGTGCAGGCGCAGGGCGTGCCTTATGCGCGAGGCATCCCCGGCTTCATCCTCCCGGCCGACCTCACAGGCCAGCTTCTCGTCAACCCTGGGTCCGCCGGCGACATCGCCAACATCACTGTCGACCCTGCCGGGGCCCTCACCGTCACTGAGGGCTCGAGCAGCGGCGAGTACGACGTCACACCGTCCTCCAGCGCCTTCGGTCGTGCCCGTCTCACAATCGCCTACACGAGCGGTCAGGTCCAGACGGTTCACTACTATGTTGTCAAATCTGGTCCCGACCACATTGCCGCGCTGAGCAACTTCCTCACCACCGAGCAGTATTACACCAACACGTCGGACCCATTTGGCCGTGCGCCCTCTGTCATTTCGTACGACTACAGCGTTATGGCGCCTGTCCTGCAAGACATGCGCGTGTGGATTGCAGGGCTGTCCGACGAGGCCGGCGCGGGCTCTTTTCTCGCGGCGAGCATGAAGCAGGCTGCGCAGCCCAATGCCGACGAGATCGCCAAGCTCGAGGATTTCGTCGCGCAGGTCCTGTACAAGACGCTGCAGCCGCCCCAGAACGGCACATACGACGTGCGCATGAGCATCTTCTACTACGGCTTAGCCGGCTACCCTTACTCGAGCGCCATCGACTGGACGACGTGGGAATCTTGGACCGAGCCTGAGGCGTACGCGACGGACCGAGCATACGACTATGTCCACGTCGCAGCGAGTTACTGGGGCCTGTACCGTGCAGGGCGGGCCTACGAGGGCATCCTGACGCAGCAGCCGTGGGACTGGTATCTGAACCAGAGCTACAACACCGTCATGTCCGCCATGGCGCAGGATAGCGAAGGGAACTGGCTCGTGGGCTACTCGACGGATGGGCTGATGGGCGAGACCGTGTTTGGCGAGCTCCTCAAGGACCTCACCCGGGAGGGCTGGACGACACAGGCGGCGGCCCTCGAGGCCAAGATGCGCGCGCGGGCGGAGCTCTGGAGCACTATGGACGACCCCTTTGGCAGCGAGATGGCGTGGGACTCAACGGGCCAGGAGGGAGTATACTACTGGTCCAAGTACTTTGGCTACAACTCTACAGCGGAGAAGACGCTGGCAACGGTCCTGGGGTTCCAGCCCACCGTCGCCCATTGGGGCTGGAATGGTAACGCGAGGCGGTACTGGGATTTTATGTAAGTTGCTTGTCCTTTGTTTACCTGGTGGTCATCCCTTTCGATTTTCCCCCTCTTTTCTTTCCAAGACAAGACGAAACTACAAACTGACCGACTTCGTTCTTTTCTCTCCCCCTTTTCAAGATACGGAGGCAAACTGGAACGCATAGAGCGCCAGATCCACCATTACGGCTCCGGTCTCAACGCGCTTGTCGCCCTGTCTGCCTTCCGTAGCAACCCCAACGACACATATCTCCTGCGCATCGGCTACGGCGGCATGAACGGCCCACTGTCCAACATCCGCGCTGACGGCTGCGCGTCGGCCGCGTTCCACTCATGGCCCGAGACACTGCAGTGGGACGCTTACAGTGGCGATTACGGTCCCAACCATAGCGGGTTGGTTATGGGCACGGGCACGTATCTCGCCTGGGACGCAGAGCTGGGCCGCCTGGTGGCGTACGGCGGGCTGCTGGACGACGACGGCGCGGGGACCGTCACCGTCAGCCCGCGGGATGTCGCCAGGAGGAAGGTGTTTGTAGGACCCATCGGGCTGCTGGTCGAGGTGGATGCTGGTGTCATTGAGAGCTTCGCGTACACGACGGCCAACGCCTCGCTGGTCGTCACGCTGGGTCAGCTGGACGGTGTGCCGACCACGAACTCGACGGTCATGTGGCTGAGCCGTGAGGAGGGGGATGCTGGCTATGAGGTCACGGGCACGAGTGTCACGGAGGCACGACTGGGTTGGCAAATCCCCCTCGGATCTGGTTCCGTGTCTGTCAATATCGTGCCGTCGTAACTAATCCCTCTCTCCTCTTGGATAATCAACAAGCTGGAGAGAAAATAAACAACTCCCGAACCATGTTTGTCGTCCGTCCACGTAGCATCTAATCCCTTGATGACGGAAGAAACTGTCATACTTTGAACATGATATCATTCTGAGGACTGCAATATGCACTTCTCTTGATGCAGAGAGAGCACTTGCCGTGCTCAAGGATCTTGCACTTTTTTTCCCTTCAAATTTTTTTTTTTTTTCATTTTTTGATGGTATGGGACTCTAAAGGTCTATCCACTCTACAGCCACGCTTCCTAACGGCTGTAATCCTTTTTTCTCCTCTTCCTTTTGTCATCCTAGGCTGTTTCATTGTTGGGCAAAGTTGCTTAATCCTGCACACACGGGCATTGCTTGCATGCCACACCCAGGAATGCTATGTACTGAACAAGAAAGTCCTCAAGGTCCTCAGACGTTCAACTCAGCAGCCTTGGCCCCCTTGATAGACGCCTGGTACGGCGCAAGCTTCTTCTCGAGCTTGCCGCCCGGTCCGCAGAACTTGTCCACAATCTGTGCGCTGCGGCCAACGTACAGCTCCGGCCTCATCATGTTATCAAGATCAGGCCAGATGGGCTTGAAGAAGTCCGTATTCCGGATCCTCTCCACGAGATCGTTCGGCTTGCCCTCGTTCTGGACTTGGTGGGATGCCTGGAATGAGAGGACACGGATTTGCTCATGAGCACTGGGGTTGGTAGTTAGTAAACAAAACCATTCCCTTGTTTTCTGCTGTTTCTTTCCTTCTTGAGGTTGTAGGACTTACTCCTGTCTGGACACGCCCATTGCCGTCAGCCTCATGATGATGTTCTCGGTGATCATGAAGGGCAGCTCTGCCATGATGTTGGAGTGAATCTTGGAGGGAAACACCACAAGTCCCTCAGTCACATTCTGCAGGGTAATGGCGATGGCGTCGGCGAGAAGGAACATCTCGGGAATATCCATCCTTCGCTGCATAAGTAGAAGTTAGCCTGGCAGGAACATGGGGGCACCGCATGACAAAAGGCAAGAAAGAGGATTCCTTACACATGCGGAGTCATCCAGCGATCTCTCCAGCCACTGTGACGAGTGAGTACTGTTGTAGTTGGCGGCCTTTCCCTGCAGCACCCGCGCGAGACTGGCAATTCGTTCACACCGCATAGGGTTTTGTTTGTACGCCTAAAATTTGAGAATTAAGATTCAAGTGTTAACATGCGTCAAAATTGAAGAAGTAAAAAAGAAGGAAAAAAACCAAACCATGACATGGAAACGCGCCGAGGAGGGGGGGAAGAGGCAGAAGAAGCTGAGACTGACCATAGCACTGCTGCCAATTTGGGAAGCCTCTCTAGGCTCTCCGATCTCCTTCATGAACGCGAGATGTCTCAGATCAGAAGCAATCTTGGTCACGGAAGTTCCCAGGCCCGTAACGGCGTTTGCCACGAGACAGTCAACCTTCCTCGTGCTGCGACGGTGTGAGTCTCTCTCTGCCCACATTCTGTATGAGTTCAGGATTTGGCGTTTGTTTAAAGACTTACTATGTCTGTGTAGAGATCTAGTGAGATGTTAGACAGTGTTGCTGATGAAAATTGAGTAACACTCTTGTATACTTACATCGTAGCATTCGTCGAAGCCAGCCTTTTGACAGAGAAGCTCGTTGAGCTGCTCACATTTGGCGTGGTCGCCACCAAAGCTGTGGAAAGGTCAGGATGATTGGTTCTGTCAGTTCCTTGCATTGACCAAGGACGAAGACTCACATCTCGAGAAAGCTGGCCTGCGTACCCGTGGTACCTTGGGCACCACGGAATTTGAGCTCGTCTCGTACCCGTTCCAGGTCGGCCAGGTCCATCAAGAGGTCCTGTGCCCAGCCGGCGGCTAGGAGGTGAGATTGAAATCAGCACAATACGCCAAAAAAGGAGAGAAATGCAAGTGGCTTGCCAGGACTCACCTCGCTTGCCGACAGTGCTGATCTGAGCAGGTTGAAGGTGGGTGAAAGACAGGGTGGGTTCAGACTTCCACTGGAGGGCAAAACCCTGGAGGTTGTGCAGCACCTTGGCAATCTTGGGGATCAGGAGGTCGAGGGCATCCCTCATGAGAATGAGCTCTGTGTTGTCGGTGACGTAGCAGCTCGTCGCGCCATAATGGATGATACCAGCGGCAGCAGGGGCAACTTGGCCAAAAGCGTGGACGTGCTAATGTTGAACAAGAAAGGAAATATATAGATCAGTATACGAGGAGGCAAGTCTTGGGCTATTTCTCATTCATGATATATTTCTTACAGCCATGACATCCTACATATTAATACTTGTTAGCTTTTCTATGTTGTTGACTTGATATGAATTTCTGCCCCTCTCTCTCGGTAGTAAAGCTTACATGCCGACGCTTCTTCTCCTCGACACGGGCAATTTCAAAGTCTTGATCCGTCACGGTCAAGTGGGCCTTCATCTGCTCGAGGGCCTCATCGGTGATGGTGTTGATCCCAAGCTCCTTCTCGCTCTGGGCGAGGTAGAGCCACAGCTTGCGCCAGGTCGAGTGCCGAGATCGCTGGCTGAAGAGACCAGACATCTCCGGGCTGCAGTAGCGGCCCGTCAGGGATGTCTGGTAGGTATCGTACTGGGAGGCCATTTTGGGCAATATCACCACGGTTGAACGAGCTCACAAAGATCCAAAATTTGGCGATGGTGGGGCAAGAGCCATGAATGCTGAACAAAAAAGTTCGGGTTCGAGGTTGAAGCTTAAATACAGGGGTTGTATGATTAGGTAAGTACATCACCCCGCCATGGTGTGTGGGTTCTAGCTTTGCGTTGTTGCCGCCTACTATGTACATTGACGTGGCAGGGCGGCCTTGGAGAATGTTCAGCCCTACAATCTGTGATCAAGAAACTTATCATGGAAATGACTTGTCAGTTAATTGAAGTCGTAGGGATATTTTTAACAAAAAACAAACACACATACACGTCATGTGCGTACAAGCCAAGGCTATGGTCTTGTCTTTGGCTTGTATCGCAATCCAACCGACTTGGGCTGTGGATAGTGTTCAGTGAGCGAGTGAGTGACCTAACTGAGGCAGTGGCGACCCCCATGGTATACTTGGACCAGCTAGCGACAAAGCTCTAATGCACCTGAGTCATCAACAACAGCATGTTACAGTGGCTGATTGGTGATGATCAGTTTCTCGCCTAGACCCTGCTAGACCCTGCTGGGCTGCATGGATGCAGGTGGATCTTTTTACCCATGCATCCATGCTGCTGCTGGGCCTTCTGTGTCAGCATCTGCTAATCATCACTAAGTCTAAGTAAGTATTTTCTCTACTGCCGAGGAGGAAATGAGGAAGAATGTAAACCAGACGATATGATATCCTCTTAGCAAAGCATCACCAAATCATTTCCAATCAATCCAAAAACTCATCATCTCATTCATGATTGTTTTTTTGGCCTGCCTTGAGAGCTGTGCACTGAAAACTATATGAAGGGCATCATTCTCTGGGTCTCGTTTCTCGTTGCCTCATTTGCTTTGCTCATCTTCAATATTCAAGTTTTGACTGACCTGATTGGATCCTATTCATCACTACAACTCAACAACTTCAACGTCAATACACTGTTGTCACTCATCACGACCTACAGCGCAATCAAGACTCAGAATCGGGAGGAGGAGAAGAGCTCAGAACTCATGCTCAAATCCACCATGTCCAAGGCACTTGACCACGCAAAAATCTCCCCCCACAGGTCCGCCACCCGTGGCCACAGCGACCATGGCTGGCTGAACTCTTACCACAGCTTCAGTTTCGCAGACTGTACGTTCATGATTTTTTTTTTCTTTCTTCTCAGACAGTGTTCCGCCCAATATAATTGTAACATTCAAATACTAACAAATCCTTGTTTCCCTTCCTTCAGGGTATGACCCACGCTACACCAATTTCGGTGCCCTGCGCGTCCTCAACGAGGACCGGGTCAAGGCGCTGTCTGGCTTCCCCACGCATCCCCACCGGGACTTTGAGATCTTCTCGTACATCCTGTCCGGAGAGCTCACCCACCGGGACTCAATGCTCCGCAAGGGCGCCGAGGGCGGCCAGTCAGACAAGTTCTACCGCATGCACCGCGGCGACGTGCAGTTCACGACAGGCGGCACGGGCATCGCGCACTCGGAGATGAACGAGCACCGCTCAGACACGGTGCATTTCCTGCAGATCTGGGCCATCCCCTGGAAGCGCGGCCTGGTCCCTCGCTACCACACGAGGAATTTCCCCGACGAGGAGAAGCGCAGGGGCTTTGTCCCGATCCTCAGCCCGCTCAGGGCCGGCCAGGACGCCACCAAGCAGGAGGAAGACGAGGCGCGGCCTGCCGTTGAGGGCACCATCCCCATCCATGCCGACTTTGTCATGGCCGCGGGCATCATCGCGCCGGAGCAGAAGTTTGAGTGGAAGGTGGGCGCCGGCGCAACGTTTGGCGCGGAGGCGAAGCAGGCGGGCAAGAGAAAGGTATATGTGCACCTGCCCATGACCAAGGGCGGCAAGGCCAAGATCAGGCTGGACGGTAGAGATGACGCCGTGCTTGAGGAGGGCGATGGGGCGTTTATCGACGGTGTCAATGCGGGTGACAAGCTTGCTGTCGAGAGTGTAGGCAGCGCAGAGGCTGAGGTTGTGTTGCTGGATAGTGAGGCATAATAAGTGTAGTATAGAAGTAGAGAGAAAAGGAAAAGAAAGAAACGAAACAAATAATATATATATATATATATATATATCATGTCTACATATACTTCCCCACATGATTCTCAAGTCATTGATCTTCCACAGGAACTCCATAGCCACCACCTCCCGAGGAATTGATCTGCATCCACTCCCCAGCCTGCAAGTTCACAACAGCCTTCCCACCAAGGCTGATTCTCTCCTGCTCATCACCTCGGCCCGTATATTTGAACACAAAATTCAGCCCAGCCTCGCCAGGGAACCCACCCGCCATACCATACGGCCGAAAGACACGCCTGTCCGACAGAATACTAAACTTCAACGGGATGCGCGCCTCCACCTCTCGCGTGATGCCGCACCCGCCCGCCCACCTCCCCTTCCCGCCACTGCCCCAGCGGATCTCGTCGCGCCTCACCAGCACGGCCGTCCTCTTCTCGACAATCTCAGGGTCCGTGGCCCTCGTGTTGGTCGAGTGCACGTGCGTGCCGTGCTCGCCGTGGTACGCCTCGCAGGCGCCCACGCCGCCCGCCACGGTCTCGCCGTAGTTCCAGCCCGGCACGATCCTGCCTGTCTCGGGGTCCTTGCCGCCCATGCCCCAGCCGAAGCTGTTGGCGCAGCCCGAGCTGGCGGCGTGGCGCCCAAAGGCCCGGAGGATGGTGTCGATGACGCGCTGGCTGGCGAGGGTCGAGCCGCAGATGGCCACGGCGGGCGACGGGTTCAGCACGGACCCGGCAGGGACGCGGATGTCCACGGGGGCGAGACAGCCTTCGTTGAGCGGGATGTCGCTGTCCACGAGGCAGCGGATGGTGTAGATGATGGAGGAGTGGCAGATGGAGATGGGACAGTTGTAGTTGCCCCAGATCTGTGGCCCAGACCCGCTGAAGTCGTACACGGCCCCTCCAGAGTTTTTGTCGATGGTGATGGTGACACACATGGCTGTCCCGTCGTCGAGGTAGTCTGTGGCCGTGAGAGGGCCTGGGTGGTCCCTGGCCATCCTTTTGAACCAATCCCGCACCGCAAACTCGGCGTTCCTCTGGATCCCGTCCATGTACTTGTGCACCACCGGTAAAGAGTACTCGTCGCAGAGCTTGCGCAGGAGGACAATGCCCCGTTGGTTCGCAGAGACCTGTGCCTTGAGGTCGGACATGTTGTCGCCGATGCGACGAGTGACGCTGCAGCCAGGAAAGTCGCCGGCCCGCTGGAAGGCAGCCCGCACTTCGTCCTCGAGGAATTGGCCCCTGCTCACAATCTTCATGGTCTCGATGTTGATGCCTTCTTCCCAGAGCTCCTTGGACTCGGGCATCATGGAGGTGATCCCCTTGCCGCCAATGTCCGTGTGATGGCCTCGTGACGCGACGTAGAAGGCAATCCTGCCGTTCCAGAACACGGGCGTGACGACTGTGAGGTCGGGAAGGTGTGTGCCTCCCCACTGAGGGTGGTTCGTCAGGAGGACGTCTCCGTCTTGCAGTTTTCCCAGCCAGTGCCGGTGCTGCGCCTGGATGGCAAACTGCATGCTGCCGAGGTGGATCGGGATGTGAGGTGCATTCGCCACAAGTTTTCCTTCGGGGGAGAAAATCGCACACGAGAAGTCCAGCCGTTCTTTGATACTCGTTGAGATCGAGGTCCGCTGTAAGGTGTTGCCCATCTGCTCCGCAATGGCCATGAAACGATGGGCAAAGACAGAAAGCTGGATCGGGTTCTCAACTCCGTCTTGGGCTTCAGAAGAGTCGATGGTCTGGATTGGCCGTCCGCCATTCTGCAGGAGCTTTTCCAAGACAACGTGATGAGATAAAATCACGGCCTTGAATGCTGGCTCCACCAAAATCGTCTGTGTCTCGTCGATGATCAGAGCTGGCCCGACAATGACACTCCCCTTGGGAATGGCCCCAAGTCTGTAAACCTTACTCGTCACCCACCCTGTCTCAATGTACACCCTCTGTTCAGAATGTGGTACTGTGCTGTTCACAGACGGATTCGCCAAGACCTGTTGTAGTTCGTTCCAGTACGGCTGCTCCTCAGCCTGCCCGTCTGCCCTGCCGGTGCCTCTCACCTTGACCGATTCAATCACAATGTCTCTGTCCATGGAGAATGCAAATTCTCTCAGATGTGTGTCTCTAAAAGCTCTTTCGTAATCTCCATCTTCAGGTTTGGGTATTGTTATATTCGTGTCCGTCCCAAAGTACCGCAACACCAAAGACTCTTCGAAACTCAGCAGCTGTTCTTCTGCACCCTGACTCAACAATTCCCTGGCTACTCTCTGCCTTAGTTGCACCAGCCGTGACTCAATGTGTTGCAAGGCCTGAGAGCCGAGTGTACCTGCAAATGGCTCCAACAACTCGTACTGTAGCTCTGCCAGGGAGATGCCATGCGCAGAAAGAAGCGACGACCATCGATGGATCAGAATCCTTTGAATCCCCAGTTTCTCGGCAATCGAACACGCATGTTGGCCTCCCGCCCCTCCGAAGCAGACGAGATTGTGGTTCTCGGGTGCAAAACCACGGGCCTCTGTTGCGTTACGGATGGGCCGGCTCATTGCCTCGTTGGCAATGTTCAAGAAACCCAAGGCCACGTCCTCCGGTGACAGGCTCTGCCCGGTCTGGCTGTTGAAGTCGGCGGTGATGTCGTTGAATTTCTGTACAATAACAGCCGTGTCCAATGGTTGGTCTGCATTCGGACCGAATATCCAAGGGAACGACGAGGGAACCAGGCGTCCGAGGAACAGATTCGCATCTGTCACCGTCAGGGGCCCTCCTTTGCGATAGCAAGCCGGCCCAGGATGCGCGCCAGCGCTCTCAGGACCAACAACCAAGAGACCGTTTCTCGCAAACAGGATGGAGCCGCCACCAGCCGCCACCGTAGCAATGTTCAACATCGGCACATTGATGGTCCTCCCGGCGATAGTGGCCTCTGTGATATAATCGTACCTCCCATCATACCTCGAGACATCTGTGCTTGTTCCGCCCATATCGAACCCAATAATAGCCGCGCCGTCTCGCTCGTCATAGCAGGACCTAGCGATGCCGACAACCCCGCCAGCTGGGCCGCTCAGCAAGGCCTCATTGCCCCTGAACCTGTGAGCCTGCTTGAGTCCGCCGTCCGAGCACATGAAGTCGACTCTGTGCGGCAGCGTCTCGAAACCGCTCTCAAAGTTCTCCACGTAACGTTGGATGACAGGGTAGAGATATGTCTCTGAGCAGGTCGAGTTGCTTCGGATCAGAAACTTGATGTTCGGACTTGTGCTGGAAGACGTCGTCACGCAGTGGAAACCAAGCTCTCGTGCTATGTCTGCCACCATGTCTTCATGCGCATGGTAGAGGTAGGCGTGCATGAAAGAGATGGCCAGGGATGAGTAGCCCTCGTCCAGCAGCCCTGCCAGCTGGCTCTTCACGACCGCAGGGTCTGGTCTCCTCAGGACACGGATAATCTCTCCGCTCGCCGTCCTCACGAGATCTTCATCTGTCAGCTCTCGGTGCTTGTCTAGAGGCTGGGGATTCAGGTCGTAGTCCTCAATAGTAATACGCTCGTCAATCTCGACGACCTTGTCGTGCAGCGGCTTGGCCTTGCGCACTTTCAAGTCGAACAGTTTGGGTCGAGCCTGGTCCCCAATGATACAAACATCCTTGTGGCCTTTTGTCGTCAGTAGTGCGAATTTCTTTCCCTTTTGCTCGAGCAGCGCGTTGGTGGCTATCGTGGTTCCGATGCGGCACGAGGCTGTCCACCTAAGCAGTATTTAGCTGTCTAATGTTGCTACCACTGTTGAGTTCTTTACCCTATTGAAATTTTTTTTTTTTGATCTTTTTTCACTGTTCAGACTGACCTATCCGAGAGCCATCCAGCTTGTCTTGCGCAGGAATCTCTCTCCCCTCTACTATTTCTAGCACTCTTCGAATCGCCTCCGTGGGGGCATCTCGATAACTCGCTGGGTCTTCGGAGAGCAGCTTGAATGTCAACGGCTCTCTGTGGGGAATGTGGGCAATGACATCGCAGAACGTGCCGCCACGGTCGATGGCCACTCTGATTCCCGACATTTTTTTTTAAGACGATTAGATCAATGCACACTCCACTTGTTGATACTAGGACAGACTTGAGGAGAAACTCTTTTCATTATTTTTCTTATCCTTGTTTCCAGTGCTTGCAAACAACCGCATGTCGCAATCTAAATGGCATCTGACCACATCTCGGGGCTATCTTGTCCGGCCCGGTCTCGGATGATAAAAATAATGAAATCCAAACATGCAATGATCGACGCCAGAAAGATGCTTTAACGGACAATAATTGTCTATCGATGCTTATGAAGAATAGAAATCCAACAATGATGAGAACCCAGATACACGAGAATTTCATAAAACAAGTAAGTCTCAACCAAGATCCAATCTTATAATAATATTCTTAACCTCCAAGCCCGCCAGGTCTCGCACCGTTCGGATGACATTCACAATCCCACCGCCCGACCGAGATAATCGCCAGCTCCGGGCAATACGCATACGCCCTCTGCTGATTCTCCTGGCCCCTCGCCCCTCGAAACATGCCATCCGATGAGTACGGGTGAAACCCAAGCGGCATCTCCTCCGGATCCGAGTGGAAGTCGATCACCACGCCAAACTTGATGGCCTGCTCGCCGATGGGCTGCTTGGCCCAGGGCTTGTCGAACAGCGCCATGGAGAAGTAGTAGTCCTCGGACGCGTGGTTCCCGTCGAGCGCCCACTGCTCCATCGGGTACGTGTGCAGCAGCTGGACGAGGTGCTGCACCTTGCGCAGCGAGAAGCCGCCGCCCATGGCGTGGGGCCGCGAGGTGCTCTGGACCGAGACGCCCAGGAAGGACCAGTCCTCGTCGACAAAGTCGTTGAGCGTCTTCTTGGAGGCCGAGCAGATCATGCTGTCGTCCTGGAAGAGGAAGAGCCACTCCGCCGGCCACAGCCACTCCTCGTACAGCCAGGGCCGCGTCAGGAGGTGGTTCACGCTGTTGTAGTCGCTGATGGCCGAGACGACCTCGTAGGGGATCAGGTCGACAAAGAGCTTCTTGTTCTGCATGTACCGCTGTATGGTTGGGTTGCCCTCCATCATGGCGACGGACTCTTCGGAGCCCATGAAGCGGAACGACCACTCGGGAGGGACGACGGCGATGAAGTGGAGCAGGAGAGGAATCAGGTATGGCAGTGGCCTGTTCTCCATGAGAAGGGCGACACGTTTTCTGTTGAGGGGGCCGTGGGGGGTGTCGACCGCTGTGAGGCCCGTCCTGTCGTTCACCATCTCCAGCGCCATCTGCGCATGCCATGATGTGTTGAGCCGGGGGACAACCGTCGCCTCCTCTCCTCCCACGGAAAAGACCTCAGGTGCCGACGTGGGTGGCCCATCCAGAAGGGATGACAGCATGATTCTGTAATTCCAGATCCATAAGAGAACTGCTGTCGTCAGGAATCCGAGGGTAAAGGTGTGGCGAGCATTGCTGGCGTTTCCGAACCAGCCTGTGCGTAGCATAATGTCCCAATGAAGAAGTAATCACAACGCTTCAGCAGAAAGGGATTTTGCTAACCATCACATCTCGGAGCATGTCCAGAAAAGAAGACTGGCTTGCCTGTGGTAAAACGGTGACTTATAGCTCTGGATTTGCCGAGGGAGTTCAATTGTCTGTGGCTGGTATGTACTATAGTACTGTTTGCATTCCTCCCTTGCACCGGCGTCTCACCTTGGCCTTAAAGGCTACAAAGCTCCCACGCATACAGATAAAAAAACCACAGGGGTGGACTTGTCTCACTTGTCTCCGCGCCAGGCCGCAAACAAGAGAAGGCAGATCTGGTCCGTCGCCAAGGGTCCTAGACCTGTAAGCGGGCTGGTGGCCAAGAATTAAGAACCACTGTTCTTGGGCAGTCAATTCCGTCTCGTCAAGCTGTAAAAGTCGACGTGCAGTAGGTGTGTAAGTGAGTATCCTTTCCCTGGAACTACTGTAGCACATTCCCTTACTGCCATGTCTCACAAGAGGGATTATCGTGAGCGAGAGCCAGAGCCATTTCTTCTTCTTTTCTTCTTATCCTCTTTCTCGTCTGGCTTGGATAAACAAATCGAGTGGACAAGGACCGGGGGGGGGGGGGTTTGAGCCATAGAGACCCAGGGTTTAGAGGACCATGTTGCCAAAGTCTCTGTGCTGGGAACATGGCTTTCACGCCGCCACCGCTCTGGCTGACCTGGAAGCTAACAAGAGTCTTGATAGCACGGGTGAGGGCACTCCAACAACCATTCAGGTGGCCACGCTTTTGCTGATAGGACTCATGGCGGTAGCCCCCCCCCCCTTTTCGAAGTGCTTGGGGGTGATGAGAATGAGCTTGGGAGTAGTCTCTCCAGAGGGTGTAGGTAATGGTCGGATCGCCGATGACCACTTTATGGTGGCTTGAGATAGTTTCGGTTGACTTCTCACCGATGGCTTGATCCTTTTTCGCTTGGGTCTCATGTTCCTGACGTCTTCAGGTTTCCACAGTGCTTCGCGGCCCGCAAGATGCAGGTAGACAGACCATCTGCATTTCCCCGGGAAAGTTGTCGCACTTGATTCCAGTCCTCGACAACGATCTTGATCGCGGTCCAGAAGGCGTTCAGACCCGATGCTGATGCACCCAAATTGTGGTGCGAGCCTTCGCTGCGAGACCGTACTCCGTGAAGGACTTAGTAGAGCCTGACGGTTATTGGCGAGATCCTTTTTTTCGTTGATCGGCTTCTTCGTGGCAACCGACGGCCTGCCTCGGGCCACGAGCATTCACCAGGCCTTTTGCCCTTGAATCGTCGCACGTACATGGTCTCGACTGCAGTAGATCGGTGGTAGCCCACAGCCTAGATCCAGAAAAGTGTCCATATAGAGAAGTCAAGATGTCAGTGTAGAACTGCTGCAGTCAGGAGACGGCTGGCCATGACGATATGCTTGCGTGGGTGGCAGCAGCGGCTGACAATATTTAAGGGGAGTTAGGCATGGCCAGCGCCAAGCTCCATAGCCAAGGGGATGCAGGCTGTATGTGTGTGAGTGTGTGCTTTTGTTGCAGGTGGGCAGAAGAGGGCAGTGAACCGAATGCACTGTTGCAGCCCAAGCGAGGAGGACAGCTGGACCGATTATGGCATGAAGAACATGAAGTCAATACCTGTTGCTCTCACTGCAAATCGTAGATATATCCACCTGCTGTAGTATCATTAGCAAAAGACGACAAGTAGGGAGGTGGAAGACCTGGAACGCGTTCTCGTGTGCAAGTTCATGTAATACTTAGATCAAACAAAAAGAATGTGGAACTATAGCTTTAAGAGGTTGTTGGCAGCATCATTGAGAGTTGCACAGGCAGGCAGGCAGTGAGGCAGGCGTAAGGGTGTGGGGCAATGGGGCTGCCACGGCTGAGATTGCACATGCAGAGATTTCGTGCTTGGGTGCTGAGACGAGTGCACAGGCACACACAACAGCAGCTCTGCAAAAAGGGTTGAGAATATCGATGCAAGGAAAGTCGTGTCCTTGATGAGGTCAGGCTGCGCACTGCTGCCTGATTCAAGTCATGGTCATAATCGTTGCTCATCTGACAGCAAGACATTGAGCTTCTCTCTTCCTTCCTCATCTCAGCACGCCAGGCACTGATGACAATGAAAGTGCAATGAAAAGTCTCGATCAAGAATGAGGGTTCCAAAAATTCCCTAGCCAGCCGAAGCCAGCTAGGAGTGGTCATGTTATAGTTTTCAACTAGCAAAAACGCATTCTCAGGCGAACCTTCACTGAATTGCGTAAAGCCCGTGCACCAGGATGAAGAGGGAAGAAAAGAGAGGAAAGCAGCAAAGCTGCAGCGGTGGGAAGGGGGGATTATATATTCCCGTGCAGGGGTGCACAGACCATCTGCGCCTTCCTCTCACCGCCTGGCAGAATCACCATATCAGGACTAGCGTCAAGATGTACCTGTGAAAGGTGGCCTGGTCTGAGTCACTACTCACAGAGCCAGTGCAGGGATCAGCTTCTTGCGAATCACCCAAGCAGGCGCAACAAGTGAGTAAGCTGCTCCCCCCCCCCCCCTTCTTCTTCTTCTTCTTCTTCTTCTTCTTATTCTTCATTTTATTTTTTATTTTTATTTTTTAATATCATCCTCCTACTACACTTTAAAATCCATACAGTGTGGCACAGGAAAGGGGCTCCATTGAAGGCATCATACATGAGGTCATCCACGGATTCTCCATTAAATAAAAATATATCATCAACCATGTTTCATAGAACTAGAACTCTTGTTGTATAACGACCTCCACTGCCTTCTAGAATCACAACAGCAAGGCAACAGCACCAACAATGACCGCCATCCCAGCACCAGTTGCGCTCTTCCCTGCGCCACCAGTCACAATCGGGCTGCTGACAGACGTGCTGGTAGGTCCGACCTTGGCGAGACTGTATGTTCCAGTCACGGTGTCGTTGCCGTACGCGTGTCCTGCCCCGTAGCCCGAGCCCGAACCATCATTGCTCGCCGCCTCTGGTGCGGAGGATCCCTCGGCACTGGTGCTGCTGGTAGGAACGGCGACGGTCACGGTGTTGAAGACGTTCTTTGTGCTGGTTGCGGTGGCAGTGGTCGTCACGGAGAAAGAGCCCTGGCCGCCCTCCTCAGCACTGGGGCTCGGGCTGGAGCCAGAACCTCCCTGGGACGGGCTCGATCCTGACCCGTTGTTGTCTTGGGCGCCCATCGAGCCTGAACCGCTGTTGTTGTTGTTGTTGTTGTTGTTGTTGCTGCTGCTGCTGCTGCTGCCAGTTGATCCTGAGTTGGAAAAGCCGCTGCCAGTCGATCCTGAGCCACTGTTGCTGCTGCCGCTGCCGCTGCCGCTGCCGCCACTGCTGCCAGTCGACCCCGAGTTGGTGGAGCTGTTGTCGGCCGATCCTGAGGCACCGTTGCTGCTGCTGCTGCTGCCGCCGCCAGTCGATCCTGAGTTGGTGGAGCCGCTGCCAGTCGATCCTGAGCCGCCATTGCTGCTGCTGCTGCTGCTGCCGCCGCTGCTGGTCGATCCCGTGGTACCAGTCTCAGACGAAGAGCCATGATCGCCATTGGCGTTGCCAGAGCCCCATCCTGAGCTGCTGTGGCCGCTACCAGCCGATCCCTTGGTACCAGTCTCCACTGCCGACGAGGCCTCAGTGGCCGTCGAGCCTTCCTCAGTGACAGGGCAAACAGTCGTCGAGACCGGAACGATAACCGTCGTCACAGATCCAATACGCGCAGGACAGTCCGTAACAGTCGCGGCGCATGACGTGATGGTGTATGTCGAGGTGCTGTAGACTGTGCTTGTGGTCCACTGCTGCTCCTTTTCGGTGTGCGAACCGCCGGCCGGGAAGACGGTCGTGGATACGGGCCAGCTGGACGTCGACAGGTGCGTGCCGGCGGGGCAGTCAGTAACGGTGGGCGCGCACGAGGTGATCGTGAGGACTGTGGTAGACCAGATGGTGCTGGTGACGTCGTGGGCTGGGGCTGGTGTCACGGCCGGAGAGGCAGTGATAGGGCCTGCAGTCGAGGTAGCCTCAGAATGACCAGGCGATGAAGGAGTCCCGGTGTGGCTGTTATCGTTGTCGCCTGTGGGGGAGGCTGGGTTGGAGATAGGTGGGGAGAGATCAGTAGCGGAGGGAGCCTCTGTCTCGCTGCTCTCATCATCATCACTTGTGGTGGAGGCTGTGCTAGAAGCAGGCAGAGGCACGTCAGAAGCTGAAGGAGCGTCGGTCTCACAGCTCTCGTCATCATCAGAGGCCGTGGTCGGGGCGGGTGGAAGGTCGGTAGGTGAAGGGACTTCAGTCTCGCAGCTGTCATCATCATCATCTGCGCCAGCAGGAATTGTGCTGTTGGAAGTCTCTGGCCGCGTGGGAACAGAAGTCACATGGGGACCACCAGGTCCGCTGGGGCCGATCGGCAAGGTATGAGTGGACCCAGCGCCAGGGAATCCGGCCACGTTCGAGACAGAGTGCGGGTGTGCGTGTGGACGCGAGTGCGGGTGTCCCGTCACGCTTGGCGCGGGCTCATGTGTAGGCATCGAAACCGAATGAGGGTGCGAGATTGGGCGCGAGTGAGGGTGCGAGACTGGGCGAGAGTGAGGGTGCGAGACTGGGCGAGAGTGAGGGTGCGAGACTGGGCGCGAGTGCGCGTGCGAGACTGGGTGCGAGTGCGCGTGCGAGACTGGGTGGGAGTACGGGTGACCAGTCACTCTTGAAGTGGGCTTAGAGCCCAAGTACGGTGGCACCGATACTACAGTAGGGTGGCCTGGTGACGACGTGTCCG